TAATATTATAGATATCGTGTTTTATCATTGGTATATACATATATATTTATATATTATGATATATCATATATATATGATATATATACATGATGTATAAATATATGATATATATATATATTTATTTATTTATTTATTTATATTTATGTATATATATATATACTTATACGTGAATCAAACAATGGGGATATTTTGTAAATACTACATTAGTGGTTCCAGCTTATTAAATAGTTTTTGTTTTCAACGCTATGGGATCCCAACTGAAAAATACGTTTTCAGATGGTTGAAACCACCAACTAGTTGTGAGCGGTTGATCTATCTGAAAAGTTTTGGGAACAATCCATAAAATCCAGCGGTTCAAAACCATCCTTTCCATAGTCAAATGCAGTTTTGTGGGGGCACAGCATATCTTCAGACACACCCCTGTTTTTTTTGAGGATTTACAATAATCTATGACATGGGATTCATTGGACCGGTCTGATGGGGTTAATTATGACACAATTTTATACGGAAAATCCTGTGAACTAAGAGGTAATCCACGTATGACATGATAAAATTGTGTTTTCCCATATTTTACAAATGGTCCCGTATGAAATTACAGAACTGTCATCCGCATATGAGTAATCCCCATATCATCCAAAAGGCCTCAGTCGCCACAGCTGTCCCCTTTGACCTTCACTAAGTTATATGTCGAATGTTCATGTCTTTTTGACAGTATCAGATGAACATCATTGAACATCCCAGATCATCCCAGATGCCCTCTTGTAAACGTTTAGATGTTTATAAAACATCCACCATTTGTAGATCATTTTTGCATGGGTTTTCCCATGGGGGAAAACCCAGATGCCCAGCGCCCTTGTGTCTTCTCCAGGACGAGAATCTCCACCACACCAGCTTGAGGCCCGTGCAGCCCGTGGCTGCAGGGTATGATGTGGAGTTCATTTGGGGATGGTTGGAATATCTTGGAATCCCATAGAAATGATGATTTTGGGAAGTTTTTTTTTTTAAAAAAAATGTGTAAAAACCACATGAATGAACATGACACTTCACAGATGAACAGGAAAATTGGATGTATACAGATATTGCGGTACAGATATTCTGTACAGTCCACGCTTTAAATGGGTGGAGACGTACTGCTTGGCCATTATATATATATATATATATGATATTTTATTGGATCCAAACAATCACATTCCGAACACATGTTTAGACATGTTCAAGTGGAGCTGTATGTTTTCAGGGGTAGTTTTAGCAATTGGTCTATTGGAAATCCTGCATCTTCACATGGGTAGATGCAATACTTTAGGTGTCATCTACAGTGGGGATGTTGTCGTTTTTCCCCGACAAGTGTACCCTCTGGTACTGTAAACGTTTGCAGTTTGCTATTGAAAATGGCCATTAGTGGATTTACCCATTGAACATGGTGATTTTCCATAGTTATGTAAACGTTTACCAAAGGGTAACCAGCAGTGACTGGGTTTTGAATTTCGACCCGGACTCATTTCCAAGGGTCTGTCTGAAAATAGGCTGCCCCCAATTGTTGACATAGCAATTTTGGAGGTTAACCACCATTTTCAGCCACACCCAAATTCATGATCCGTTCGGTCAATATGCTTAAATCAACTATGTTTTGATCGATCGAAAGAAAACCCATTTAGCATATTTCAAGTTCAAATGTTTTATATAAAAATGTTGATGGGTAAATCAACTATAAATGACCATTTTATGGTATTATGTTTTTCAATGTTCGTGTTCCATTTCCGACATCATCATGTCGACATACCGAAATTCGGATTCCGTCCAAAGGTCGCTGCGCCCTGGGAACTCTGAGGCGATCCTCTGTGAGATTGAATGGCTAAACCATGGTGATTTTTGATGCTGATTGAATAGCTAAAAATGGTGAAAAAAAATGTGTGTCTGAAAATGGGATGATTTCAAAGCCTCAAAACGCACATGTTTGTTCCAAGTGATGATGATGATCAACCCATTTTTTCTGGGTACCCTATTTTCGGATAAGCCCACATACTACCAACAACCAGAACGACCTTAACGCCAACAGACAGACATCCGGAAAATCAATTAGAAGCGTAGGTATTGTCCGAGAATCGTCTCCTGTGGCATCCAGTATTCTAACCGGAGGACTTAGACACCTTACTGGAAAGGTGGCAAAAAAAGGCAAGATCACCTGTGCGTTTGCTCGAACATGGTGCACCCTAAATCCAATGGTAACTGACTGGGCGTCAATGCCATTTTTTGGACAAACCCATCGATTCTCAGGTGCAAAAAACATGTCACATTGAAGATCTACTGTACACCAGAAATTTCAACGTCCTGGTTATCCTGAAAGCTTTCTCTCGCTGTGATGTCATCACTTAGTAGTGTTTTTTTTTTTCCGGTGTCGACTTAAGTATTGGTCAATCACACATCTATCTGAATGGAACCTTGCTACAGTTACAGTACAGTACATTTTTGTCATGGCCGGTCTTCAGCCATTCAGGTCTCAAACTGTGTTCATCGTCTGGAAAGCATTTGGCAAGAAGTTTAGTCCCTTCAACTATCACGCAAGACAGAACAATAGATACTCAATGATATACCATTAATAAATATCCATTGTCTAGAAAACATTACTGTAATGACCCTTAGTTGATAATCATGAAGAACCATTAAAAACAATTAATTGCCATGGCTTTAACCACTTGATTTTGCCAATGACAGTTGGCCTTACCAGGGTATGGCTGTTTTTGTTGGCCAACCATCATCTGGTCATTCATCGGCCCCTTTAGAGAGAGAGAGAGAGACCCCCAGATTCTCATCCACCTTCCGATCCATGAGTGCGTTCGCTCTGCCAGCCATTCTTCACAACAACTCACTTCTCCTATAGCTTCCTATCTTTGAAACTTCTGCCACCGCCTTGTGCGGTACTTTTGGTATATATGCTCCAGGCCCTACCACACCCCCCCTCATGGAGTGGGTACCCCCCTTCCCCCCTGTGAATTGGTAGTCAACAGATATTAGGTGTATGTATAGTATATAGTATTGGGAATTACATACGGTTGTATATAATGTAGGTATATAGGTATATAGGCATGCAATGGGTAGTACATTAGGTATGTATTAGGTTATACAAGGTATCTATTTGGTGTGCAGTGTTAGGTATGTAGTGTTAGGTTTTCTGTATGTAATATTTAGTAGTGTTAGGTACGTATAGTATATGCTTTACATACGACTATATATATATATATCTGTGTGTGTTATGGACCCCCCAACCCATGTTACGTCTTTGCATGCTTCCATCTACTGCCCCCAGATGAGATCTTCCCCCTTCCCCCCTGTGGCTGGTAGTGCCCCCACCCAACCCATTGGGGGGGGGTGGAGAGACGGAGGACGGGACCAATATTTAAACCACATATATGACCAACTGGCACGTAGGTTTGTGCCCAAAAGACATCGAGATTCAACCAATTGGACAATGAATTGGACAACTTGGAAACATGTCCTTCCCGGAGTTGAGAAGATGACAAAGGATGACAGTTGCACATGTTGTTTGATAGGGTTTAAAGTGGGCACACTATCATATATATATATATTTATTTATTTATTTATTTATTTGGTTTAGAATTGTGTGCAAAATGTGGGAACCATTCCTATCCATTGCCTAGAAACCATGAATGACCATTAAACATAATTGGCAACCATTAATCACCATCAATTGCCGTTAACAATCATGAGCAACAATTAAAAACCATGAGCTGCCACTAACATCCCCTACTAGTAAGCATTAATGACCATCAATCACAATTGTTAACTAATATTACCCACAGGCACCTTGTGTTGCCCACGCCAGGAATAGCGTAAATTACAAGGATTTTTTGTTCACACTATACATCTCATCTAAATTCTCCCACCCCCGTTAAACTTCTACATTCATTGAAGATCTTCAATAAGGGTTTTATTCTCCCACCCCCGTTAAACTCTTCCATTCATTGAATATTCTTCAATAAGGGTTAATTCTCCCACCTCCGTTAAACTTCTACATTTATTGAATATTCTTCAATAAGGGTTTAATTCTCCCACCCCCGTTAAACTTCTACATTCATTGAATATTCTTCAATAAGGGTTTAATTCTCCCACCCCCGTTAAACTCTTACATTCATTGAATATTCTTCAATAAGGGTTTAATTCTCCCACCCCCGTTAAACTCTTACATTCATTGAAGATTCTTCAATAAGGGTTTAATTCTCCCACCCCAGTTAGACTCCTCCTCATCATCATCATCATCATCATCATGATCAACATGCCGGGAACGTCCCTGTAAATCTCCGGGCAACACAAGGCGCCTGGCCGTAGTATTAGTATATATTAGTCACCATTAATGTCCTTTAGATTCCTTTAGCATTCACATTCATTGCTGGTCATGGCAATTGAAGTCCTACCGTGTGCTGCGGCGCAAAATCCGACAGAAATCCCGACAGATCAGTTGGCTTGGCTCAGCCCGGGACATCGGACATACAGCGCGATGGACGTCGCGAAAAAGTTGTGATGACATCGTAACGATTGATACCATCTGGTTATTTGTTACATAGCCATGGAAAATAAACATGCTATTAATAGGTAAACCATCTATTTCTATGGGCCATTTTCCATGGCTATGTTAAATAACCAGATGGTAATGAAAATTGGTATTATAGCAGGTGTTAAATAGTGGGCAATATCATCTTGATAATTAACATCATTAGTAGTTAGTGTCAATTATTTGGGTATTGCCCACTATGATGTGTGGACACGTTATCATCGCCAAGGGCGGACAGCTGAAATTTGATGTTGAACAGAGCTGTGGAAGACCACCATTGTTAGTAGGTAAAACATCAACTTGTCGCTATAAATGGAGGTTTCCTAAAAGTGGGGGTACCATGACCTATCGCTGGATGGTTTCATGGAAAATGCCATCTATATATATATATATATATGGATGATTTGAAGGTACCCCCATGACGTACGAAACCACCAAATGGGCCATGTTCAACGTGACGATTTGCTGAGCCGCTGAATCAATGTCGGCGATGCCAAACTACGTGGAGCAGGCCGATCGCTGAGAAGATGAGAAGATGACGGGTGATCAAACAAAAAACAAATTTCGAGGTCTAGCTGAATTATATGGAACTGTCGGAAAAAAAAAAACTGGTGCCCTTTAAAATCATCCAAAATAGGGGCTGAATTAATTGAATCCTATGGATGTGTCATTCTACCATGTTGGCTAAGGATTTGGGGCGAATCTTAATCCCCAACCAACTGTTGGGCAGCAAATGCGACTTTCTTCGGGATAGTGATTCCTAGCCTGAAACACAATTCTGACATAGTGTCTGACCATCTGGAAATATATCCGTGTATGGCCTTTTATTTTCTGACATTCTGACATTCTTTCTGGCATCGAATCTATTCTGACATTCTGGCCTTCTATCTGGCATCTATTCTGACTAGTTTCTGGCATATGCTGACATTTACTCTGGCATTCTATGTGGCATCTACTCAGACATTGATGCACTCAGTCCCGCACTCAGTCCCGCCACAGCCTTACAGCCTTTGAAGGCCCAATATGTTTTGAGATTTTTCAAGTGGGGATCACAAAAACCAAAGGAAAAAGACAAAAATGAATATGAATTGAAAATGAAGGTCAGAAAAGAAGCAGATTGCAAAATAAACTTTTGAAACAAAAATAAAAATAGAAAAATGAAAAAAACGTTTTAACTTGTATCAGAACGAGGCCGGCTGGGAACTTGCAAATCTAGACATTTTATCTGACATTCTATTCTGGCATTCTATCTGGCATTTATTCTGACGTTCTCTCTGACATGGGCACTGACCCTCACCTGGCAGGTGGGGAAAATCAGGATTTAGTGAGCTAATCTCAATCCCCAACACCAACAAGGGCCTACTGCCTATTGACATCTATTAACTCTTCATTCAGCATGTGCTACTGGGGGATGTGATTTTGAGTAAATTGAAATGATGGTGAATGCTATCCACAAATGGCCGAACTTTTGAGGTTAGTGAACTGTGAAGCAATTCAGCCAGATAGGCAATGTGTCATTGGGCGTTGCGCCCACATCCATTACGGTAATGCGGTGCACCCAATTTTGGAGAGTTTGAAATATAGTTTATCCATGTTTACACCGGCTAAAAAAAATCTGGCAAAGTTATTGTTTATGACATTGGCTTTAGCACATGAATATATGGTTTCTAATAGGAAAAAAGTGGAGAATCCAGACTCTCGGCTGGGATTCGGTGGATTAAATCTTGTACTCTCGACCTAAAATGGGGGTACCCCTATGGCGGGACAGACGACAAGGCCCCGGAGGTAGTATGAAACACCAGTTCAATCCGAATTTTTTGAATGTATGTTTAAATATATTCTCTATGTTTAAAGGCCGGGCGGGCCAAGGAAAACCTTCCCGGAGGTAGTCTATTTTTTTAAGATACAAGTTCGTATATTTAAACATCCGTATATTTAGATGCAGTTACCGTAGGAATTTCCATTCTAAACCATCCATGTTGGGGCACCCATTTTTTCTATGGAAACCCCCATATAATATGAACGTTGCAACGCCCTTCGCAACACGCATCCTTGTTTTCCAAGTCCAAAAAGGGTTCCACAAATCCCCCCGAAAATCCGGTGAAAGCATCTGAGGTCATCTCTGTTTTGCAATGATTTCCCAATAATAGTTATTCGCGATATGTAAAATAATATGGTGTTGCTTATAGTGATAGTTGTAGTATATATATATATGCCAAATATATCCAAATATATATATATTTATATATATATATATAGTATAATATACTTATAATTCTTGTGTTTTGTTGTTTATTCCTAATATTTATAGTTCTTAATTGTTCGGAAACGTTACGAATGATTCCCCAAAAAACTATCCAACCATGTCCCAAAGACTGCTAAAGAGTCACCAAACTCAAATGGATAATGATTTTCCCTTTTACACCCATATATATATACATACATATCAGTTTGAACATCCACCCCCGATGAGTTCAGAACTCATGGGCCATTTTTGGCGAGGCATGGAGGCTCAGTGAGAAAGAGCTGGATGATGTGGAGGCGTGCGGGTAGCTGTTTTAAAAGTGGTACCCTCTGGTAAACATACAAAAAACTATTGAAAATGGCAATTTATACTGAGTTTTCCCATTAAAATTTGTGATTTTCCATAGTTTTTTGTATGTTTACCAGAGGGTATATACTTTATCTGTCCACTTGGGTAGAGTGATGTGGGGATTGCCACCCCCAAAATCGGAGATTTTTGTTGCACCTGCTGGGGATTTTTTATGGGCCAACAACATGATATAACTGGGTTTGTCCAGCACCAATGGGGTGAATGATGGTAAGCCCTTAAATTGTGGTTGATATGGTTGAATCATGTTGAATCTAATTGAAGGCTGCTGATTGGAAAACGTTCACCAAGATTTGGCCTGATTGTTAGATGTGGCTGCTGTTTCACTGCTGGGTTTTCGTGGTTTCTCAAACTGGCCAGTGGTTGGTATGACAACCGTGGATGATGGAACCAGGTAGACATTGTCTTGGTAGCTTGAGGGGTTTGTTTTGAGCAATAAATGGAGGCAAACCTAGTCAGCAATATATTGATTTTCAACAAATGATTGAATTGATGTAATTATATAGATAGGGATGCTGCATATCATCAAATGTAAATCGGCAACTAGCAACCAAACAATATTGAACATAGGTATGTAAAGCCCAGTGGATCTTGAAAAACAAATCACCCGATGCACTGTCACACTAATCAAAGGGTCAAAGGGCTAAACACATCACAAGCGCCGAATTGTGGTTCAACATTGTATACCTCATAAAAAATGACGGTAAATGACGGTAATTTGCTACCTAATATAGCCATATAGATAGATGTCCATAGATATTCATAGAGGAATTTCCCATTGAACAGTCATACGACTCATCAGATTTTTGAAAAAAAAAACAGGGATCCCGGGATCCCAATGGAGATATTTTCTTTCACTCTATTGCTGAAGAGAAGGTCCAAAATTTGAGTTTATTTACTGCAAAAGGTAGTTGACAGGGGTAGCCTTATTTCGTTGGACACAGCAAGGTTAGATGAACCTACTGTGATCTATTTGGAAACCACAGTCCAAGCCAAACTCTCACTAGAATCCATCCTCGATGCCTAGAAATGCATGGTGTGTTTGTTTGATCACATCCTTGTTTTGTGCTGCTTCAATTTCCATGCTATTTCAGTTTGCTGCTTCACTACCCAATCTCGTTGGAATAAAAATCTTGAAAATGTGTCATTTTCTGGTTGGTGGTTTGGAACATGTTTTATTTTTCCATATACTGGGAATAATCATCCCAACTGTCTAATATTTTTCAGAGGGGTTGAATCCACCAACCAGTTTTGTTTTGCGGGATGACCAACGTTTTGTCTTTGCATCAGATTTGCAAATCCAAGTGGGAATCCAATGGGAATCAAGATCTACCCAGTTGTCTTTTCCCTCCATGTGTCAGTTCCCCAAGGTCAGTTTCATGCCTGGTAAATCCACTGGGGAACTGGGAGCTTGACCCAGCTGCCACTATGCCAGAGAGAATGCCATGCCAATGATCAAAAATGGTCAGGATGTCAGTCCAAAAATGTTAGAATGATACAGAAAATGTCAGATATATCTGATGAATGCCATTTTTGGAATGCGTTAAAACATGTCAGATATAGAATGCCATTTTTGGAATGCCAGAAACACATATTAGTTATGAATGTTAGTCACCAATTTTTGTCATACCAATGTGAGTCACACATATTGGTTTTATCACATTTATTGGTCAGTTAGATCATATGTGGAACTAACCACTACTATTAACCATTAACCATTGCCAAACTCATAGAATTGGATGATGGGAAAATTTACAGGAGAGCCCTATATTTGATGGTAAAAACCATGGTTTCCTGTAGATTTTCCCTTAAACCAATCCATTGCCAAACACATCTTTTTTTTGAACCTCAGAAAGTGTCAGTGATTGTCGTGACGACCACGTTTCGCGTATGTCGACGTCAGCCAGGTGGTGGTGGACCTGCGCGACTGCCACCTGGCGATGACTTGGTGACGAACCTCCATGAACTTGGTGGAAAACCATAGGAAAACCATAGGAAAATGGAGGTTTAATGGGATTTAATGGGGTATACCCTCTGGTTATGTCAAAATAGCTATTGAAAATGGCCATAGAAATAGTGGATTTTCCCATTAAAAATGGTGATTTTCCATAGTTATGTTAGTTTACCAGAGGGTACATCTCAATATCCCAGGGCATATCTTCGTGTTTGTTGTGTTTTTGTTTTTTTTTGGCGAAATCCATGTTTTTGGTGTCGGCGCTGTTAAGGGGCCGTGTGCTGTCTCCATTTTTTCGGTTTTGTGTGTTCTTCTTGTCATTGTGATTGTGAACCGGGTGGGGGGGAGGTGGGGGGGGTGGGGGGGGGATGTTAACGTTCTTTGCGACTGCAAGGTTCTCTTGCACTTCCACACATACGTCATGCGACGCTACTGCTAGTTTCTCTTGCACATTCACACATACGTCATGCTACGCTACTGCTACGTTTCTCTTGCGCATTCACACATACGTCATGCTACGCTACTGCTAGGTTTCTCTTGCACTTCCACACATACGTCATGCGACGCTACTGCTAAGTTTCTCTTGCACATTCACACATACGTCATGCTACGCTACTGCTAGGTTTCTCTTGCACATTCACACATACGTCATGGTACGCTACTGCTAGGTTTCTCTTGCACTTCCACACATACGTCATGCGACGCTACTGCTAGGTTTCTCTTGCACTTCCACACATACGTCATGCTACGCTACTGCTAGTTTCTCTTGCACATTCACACATACGTCATGCTACGCTACTGCTAGGTGTCTCTTGCACTTCCACACATGCGTCATGCGACGCTACTGCTAGGTTTCTCTTACGTCAATATTCATACCACACAAAGTTTCGGAAACAAGGGTTGTCATTAAAAAAATGCCATTTTATGAGGTAAAACGCTCAAAAATCAATATTTTCGGTGAACACTACGTGGTTTTAAGCTCATTGAAAACACCATGATATGATGAAAATGTTGAAAACCACTAACGAAATTGAAATTGAACACTTATGATGGAATGTCGATCTTACACCACTGCACGGCCTCTTATCAACGCCGTTACCATGTTTTTTGGTGGTTTTACCATGTTTTACCCGAATGTGTCATGGGATATAGATGGATATAGTCCATTTGTTCATGCGTAAAATCAATTGAACATGGAACCCACAAGGTCCAAAACCAGCAGTAAAATCATTTTTGGGACTTCATTCTTTAGGTTCAATGTTGAGTTTAGGGATATTGGGGAGATTTGGGGAGTGTAGAACCAAGAGCCGCAGGGATAGAATCAAACAAGCGTGGCAGTAAACACAAACGGAACACGGGTTTAGAAGCGATGGGATATCACGATTGACCACGTTCTGATAGAAAATGATGGGTTCCACTTTCCCAATGGACCCCTTTTTTAGTTTCAGGGATGTAACCACTCTGACATCATTTGACTGGGATCTACTAGGATCTACTCCAGCAATGGGGCTTCACCCTGCTCCTCATCTTCAACTTGCAACATGACCTGCACCATCCACCGGAGTCACTTCAGAACCGTTGAGCTCCCAAGAGGCAACATGGATCGCCATCGTCACACCAACCAGTTGTGTCCTTTCACAAAAGTCAGATCCACGCCGAATTCCTTAGCTGCCCCAAATTTTCCAATAGGACAACCTATTCAAAAGCCTAATGTTTGAGTTCAAATGGCATAATTTCACAAGGATAGGAAGAGCAAGTGACCGAAGGGATTTGCATGCTGCCTCCTGAACAAAATCACCTCGCGGTGGGCCGGGAGACGCTTAGGTTTGACCGATGCTGATTTGGCGCGAGCAAGTACGTGTCCCCGGTTCCGGTCTTGGGTCTTGGGTCAAACCGTTGTTTCTTCCCAGTTAGAACCACGGATGAAATAGGTTCCCTCCCCTAGTCAAACATGGCAATGGAAAATCCCCTCTTTACAGATAATTTTCCCATTAAAACTTCCATTTATAGTTGATTTTCCCATTACAACCTCCATTTATTTTTAAATATCTATGGAGATTTTCCCACCTAGCCACGTTCGAGGACACAGGGTATGTACAGCCTGCCGGCAGTGCATTTGAAGGATCATTTGCGTAGGCTCGTTTAAGCCTACAAAAAGCGTAGGCTTTGCATTCGTTGGCAACAGTTAGAACATGTTATAACTCATTCATTTTGCCTTGGTTAGTTGTGATATTTGTTGCTTGTGGTTCCATTTGGCCTCATGCCACAATTGAAAACAACAAGAAGCCATGGCCACGTAGGCTTTGCGCCTACACCACGGCTCGGCTCGCGTAGGCAGCCCTTAAAAACCATACATATCGAGTACTTCATGGTTCATGGCGTAGGCTCGGTTTTTCGGCAGTTGAGCGTAGGGTCAATATGTAGGTTATATGGTACTGGCAATCGAAAAAGAAGGATAAAAAACACCATATAACTACCCATAGGATCCATGGTGCTGGTATATATGCAAACATGACTGGGGTATATTGATGGGATCCATGTTACCATATATAGCAGATTCATGGATCCGTCATGGGTTAGTAACTCATTGGAGCCCGGCTCATACCATCGCCAGAATCAGGGTGTCATGTGCCAACAAAAGGCTGCTCCCCAAAAATTGTGACATCTGGAGGTATACCTCCTTGGATGTCTTAAACATGGACCTTCCCACCGTCCCACCATGTTTTTTTTGGAGTAACGTTGGGTAAGTTTTTTTTTGCCAACTTTGGCCCAACGTCAGTTTTCAATATATTTGATATATCAACGCAGCCGCTATCAACCGGTGTTTTCTAACACATGTTGTTTTAAGCTACGACAAAAGAGGCAGATGAATGTTGATCATTTTGTTTTACTCACGTAACAACAAGACCACGGCATATGACTGATGCTTGTACATTCTTTTAAATTGACCACTGAAAATCCAATTTTTAATTCTGTTGAATCTCATCTGTCAGTAGTTCAATCACACTTGTTTCTTGAAGCAATCCCAATGTTCACTGCTTGATTCTGAATTTTCTTCGATAAGACTATCTGTTTTGGTGTTGAGATCCTACATGAAAATTGGTGACGCAGTACAGTCAGCAAATCTGTAAATCTTCGAGCTTCATCCGTCCAATCCCAATTTTCAGTTAAACAAAACAATGTAACACATCTAAGATTCACTGAAACAAAACTATATCTGTGTTCCATTGTTCATGTTTTTTTTTCTGTGTTCAAACGACTATTGAACACATATATGGGGTTGTCTGGAAATAGAGTACTCCCAAAAATCTAATGGATTATCATCATCTCCCACCATCTTCAGACACACCCACACTACATTGACAATACCATGTCAATCCTTTGTCAATGCTATTTGTTGGGTGAGCCTCTTTCAATAGTCCGATCACTACGGGAAAGTGCTTCGGAGGAATCCCAATAGTTACCAACTGGTGCAGGAGTTTACAACCATCCACAGTATCATGGATTTCCTATAGTCCAACTATTGAAAATGTCAATAGTCCACCTATTGAACATGTCAATAGTTGATTGACAATTTCAAGAGTCCAACTATTGAAAAGACTATGACTCAATCCATTTTCAACAGTCATATTCACTGATTTTCAGTTTCCCGAAATCTTGACTCAGCTATAAATCCCCCCAAAAAAAACCCATGAAATCATCATTTTTCTGGGGTTTTCCTATGGTTTTCGTATGGTTCCCAGCTGGCTTTTCCCAGCTGGCCTTTCCCAGCTGGTTCCCACAAGGCACCGCCTCCTCCGGTGGACGGGCTCCCGATTTTCTGAGGAGAGGGGAAGCTGGAGAGTTTTTTTTTTTTATGCTACATAGTTACTATAAAGTTACTATAATATATAAAGTTACTAGTATTTCGGCAAAATTCATGGTGATTTATATGGGATATTCATAGGAAAATCATCTATATTAGCTGGCTGGTGGTTTGGAACATGACTTTTATTTTCCCCAATAGTTGGGAAGAATCATCCCAATCTGACTTTCATATTTTTCAGGGGGGTAGGTATACCACCAACCAGATAAAGTTACTATATCATAGTAGATATATGATGTAATGGTTACAATACTATAAATGGAGTTTTCATTGTAGGTTGTTTCTGGATATACTGATATAGTTTGGATATGTACTTAGGACCATTATATACAATGTATGTAACGTTATATAACTACTAGGGCCGGCGGTGATAGATGGCTGTATGGTTTCATACACATTCATCATTCATGTCATCTTTGAAGCACTTTGTGATCAGCTGTCAAGTAGCAAAATCTTCACGTTGGCCACGCCAAATGGCAATGTAGGGCAAAAGTTGCATGGTACTATCTCTGCAAACCTCTTTTGTAGTCAAAAAAACTCTTTCTCCGTAAACAGTTCTCTGTTGACAGTTCAATGTTTTTTCTTTGGTCTGCGGACAGGCACGCTGTTTTTTCCCATCTCGCTCGGAGTCTGAACCCATATAATTTAATCATGGTTCACTCATATCATTATGCGACAATCTATCAAGTGTTTCAACGTCCCATCATTATGTCAGAACATCACATGAGGAACGTGTAGTAAAGTCCCATGATTATGTCTGAACATGACATCATGAACGCGTTACAAAGTCCCATCATTATGACAAGAATCAACAGCAGGCTGGACATTACTATATGGTGTGTGAAAGTAGCAAAGTGTAGAGTACAGTAGCGTGACGTCTGTGTAGAAGTGCAATAGCATAGCATGACATATGTGTGGAAGTGCAAGAGAACATCCAGTGGTGTAGCATCACATATGTGTGGAAGTGCAAGAGAACGTCCAGTACCGTAGCATGACGTGTGTGTGTGTATTTGTGTGTGTGTGTGTGCAAATGCAATTGATGTTATTGCCCCACCCCACCCCACCCCACCCCACCCCAAAAAAGGACAACAATAAGAAAAGAGCATGCGTTTCTTTGAGTCAAGACTCACGGAAAAACCCAAAAAAAGCTCACACTGTCACTGTGACGCCAGAGACCTAAAGCCTAAAACAGCAAAAACACTGTTTGGTTAGGCGGCCTTCTACGCCCGCCCAGCCAAGCCAGCTACTAGTAGAGTACTGTTTGGGTATATACTATAGAATGTATATTTATCATTATATATTTATCCGGTTATTGTATATATATATAAGTATATAATAGTACTATTTTTGTGTATAATATATATATATATATATATGTGAGGTTTCCTAAAATGGGGGATCCCCAATAGCTGGATGGTTTTGTTGGATGATTTGGGGCTACCCCCATTTATGGAAAGCTCCATTTTGTTCACCATGGCGGAATGACGGATCATAACTTAGGAGAATGCCTGGATTTTGTGAGTCGCTACAATAACTTATAAATTGGATACAACTATAGATACCAAATTTATCAAAATATCAAGAGTTAAAAATTTATCAACATATCAACTATAGATACTCATTGAATATTTTGGAAGTTCCAAGTATCAAAATAGTTGTCCATGTTGAAGCAACTCATCCAAATTGTGGAAACATATAACATCACATAGGCAGATCATTGTTGACAATGTGTGGTTTAGCCGCCGCCAGGGACGACCGAAGGGACCGAACGCCCAGCAGGGAAACCCAGCTGTTGAATGGGGTTCTAGTTACCCTCTGGGAATCTATGGGAATTCGTGACATAGTTATGCAAAATCACAATTTTGTAGCTTGATAAATCACTGAATCATTGAATTAAATGGACCATTTTCCATAGCTATACGTCAAATTACCGGAGTGTACATCCCACAATACCTCACACGCACCGTTTGGATATTTTTTGTCGCGTTCATTGTTCGGGGTAAGGGATTACCGTTTTATGGCGAGATGACATTAGAAGGCAGAGATCTGGGGAAACACAGTAATTTAGCCACCAAACATTGGGATGGGACGATCATTGAATCTGCTGCGTGAATTAGCTAGCAAGGAATGCTCAGAACATCTCAGCACGCATTCTTTTTTTGTCCCGAACACTTTTCAGTTTTGTTCGCAAGCGTTCATTACGGGTTGGGGTGGCATGTGCCAGTTTTTGTCTATTCAAGGTTTGAGTTTGGACTTTGCAAGAAGTGGTTTTGAACTGACAAGCGGCGATCAGACTGCACTATGGGGACGCTTTGACAATCGTAAGGGTTGCAGCTCTTGCATGCTCGGGGACTTATTGTAAAATAAAAGGACACTTTGCCGCAAAACTCTAGATTTTAATGGCAAAGCCTCGGTCTGTGACTGATTTCCCCTTCGAAAACCTGATTCTCAGGTTCAGCGAGTCATCTCAGCGATGACATCGACATTGATAGCACCGTGGCAAGGAAAGATTGGCCGGTGAATTCTTGATGATAAGTGTTGCTGATGATTTGGACTATTACTTTTATGGATTAAAATACTGAATAATGAATCCATTAAAAAATATTACTGAGGAATTTATATGATTTTATATCAATTGGACTATTTTTTGATGATTATCCTGATGATTAAGACTTGGACATGATTGAACATTTGGCTTGCCGCGAGATTCATAGGCCCAGTGCTGGTTCAGCCCCCGGGAAATCCGAATGTGGAACGTGGCGAAGTCATTTAGAATCTAGAATATGTCCTTAATTATTAATAAAATAAGCCTTACTGGTTGGTGGTTTGGAATAGTACTCCCAACTGGCCCAACTGACTAATATGTTTCAGAGGGGTTGAAACCAGAAGCAGAATGGGGGAGGATTACACTTCACGGAAACCCTGCAAGATAGGATAGCATGAACGGAACCACCCCGAAGGAGATAGAAGGCATCCACGTGACTTTACTGTCATGTCATGTATAGGACAGAAAAAAGAGTATGTTTATATATTCACATCCATATGAATTTTTGCTCCATTCACAAATCACCCATTCATGCACAGAGGTCCCCCAAAAATATACCCTCTGGTAAATTAACATAGACCCTGGCAGATAGGGGTTGGAAGACTCGTTTCCATTAAAAATTGGTGATTTTCAGGGTCTATGTTTATTTACCAGAGGGTAAACAATTACTGATCATTTTCTTCCAATGAAAGAGCAATGATTTCAAAGTTGATTTTTCCCCACATCTTTGTGTGGGGTTCTTGTTTTTGATTCTGTATCCCGGGCTCCTCCTCCGCCGCCTTCTCCTCCTCCGCCCTCCTCCACACTTTGTCACCATACACTTTGTCAACAAACACTTTCTCAACACACACTTTATCACCACACACTTTGTCCAACACACACTTTATCAACAAACACTTTATCAACAAACACTTTGTCAACACATACTTTGTCACCACACACTTTGTCCACACACACTTTGTCCACACACACTTTGTCACCACACACTTTCTCAACAAACACTTTCTCAACACACACTTTATCACCACACACTTTGTCCAACACACACTTTATCAACAAACACTTTATCAACAAACACTTTGTCAACACATACTTTGTCACCACACACTTTGTCCACACACACTTTGTCCACACACACTTTGTCACCACTTTGTCACCACACACTTTGTCCACACACACTTTGTCCACACACACTTTGTCACCACACACTTTCTCAACAAACACTTTGTCAACACATACTTTGTCACCACACACTTTGTCCACACACACTTTGTCCACACACACTTTGTCACCACACACTTTCTCAACAAACATTTTGTCAACACATACTTTGTCACCACACACTTTCTCAACAAACACTTTGTCAACACATACTTTGTCACCACACAAACTCACATCCACCGTCACAAACTCACATCCACCTTCGTTTCACGTGGCAGGCGTGGCACAAACTCACATCTACTGTCGTTTTGCGTGGCAGGCGTGGGACAGATGGCATTGGGTGGCGCGCTTGGACGGGCTTGGGCGCCTGTGACGCCGCGGCACTTTGCGTGGCAGGCGTGGCACAAACTCACATCTACTGTCGTTTCACGTAGCAGGCGTGGCACAAACTCACATCTACTCTCGTTTTGCGTGGCAGGCGTGGGACAGATGGCATTGGGTGGCGCGCTTGGACGGGCTTGGGCGCCTGTGACGCCGCGGCACGTTGCGTGGCAGGCGTGGCACAATCTCACATCTCTTGTCGTTCCACGTGGCAGGCGTGGCACAAAATCACATCTACTCTCGTTTTGGTGGCAGGCGTGGGACAAACGCACATCTACTGTCGTTTTGCGTGGCAGGCGTGGGACAAATGGCATTGGGTGGCGCGCTTGGGCGGGCTTGGGCGCCTGTGACGCCGCGGCACGTTCTGTGGCAGGCGTGGCACGAACGTTCACCTACTGTCGTTTCACGTGGCAGGCGTGGCACCAACTCACATCTACTGTCGGTTTGCGTGGCAGGCGTGGGACAGATGGCATTGGGTGGCGCGCTTGGACGGGCTTGGGCGCCTGTGACGCCGCGGCACTTTGCGTGGCAGGCGTGGCAACAACTCACATCTACTGTCGTTTTGCGTGGCAGGCGTGGGACAGATGGCATTGGGTGGCGCGCTTGGACGGGCTTGGGCGCCTGTGACGCCGCGGCACGTTGTGTGGCAGGCGTGGCACAAACTCACATCTACTGTCGTTTCACGTGGCAGGCGTGGCACAAACTCACATCTACTCTCGTTTTGCGTGACAGGCGTGGGACAGATGGCATTGGGTGGCGCGCTTGGACGGGCTTGGGCGCCTGTGACGCCGCGGCACTTTGTGTGGCAGGCGTGGCACAAACTCACATCTACTGTCGTTTTGTGTGGCAGGCGTGGGGCAAACGCGCATCTACTGTCGTTTTGCGTGGCAGGCGTGGGACAGATGGCATTGGGTGGCGCGCTTGGACGGGCTTGGGCGCCTGTGACGCCGCGGCACTTTGTGTGGCAGGCGTGGCACAACCTCACATCCACCTTCGTTTCACGTGGCAGGCGTGGCACAAACTCACATCTGATGGCAGTGGGTGGCGCGCTTGGACGGGCTTGGGCGCCTGTGACGCCGCGGCACTTTGCGTGGCAGGCGTGGCACAAACTCACATCTACTGTCGTTTCACGTGGCAGGCGTGGCACAAACTCACATCTACTCTCGTTTTGCGTGGCTGTCGTTTTACGTGGCAGGCGTGGCACAAACTCACATCTACTCTCGTTTTGCGTGGCAGGCGTGGGACAGATGGCATTGGGTGGCGCGCTTGGACGGGCTTGGGCGCCTGTGACGCTGCGGCACTTTGCGTGGCAGGCGTGGCACAAACTCACATCTACTGTCGTTTCACGTGGCAGGCGTGGCACAAACGCACATCTACTGTCGTTTTGCGTGGCAGGCGTGGGACAGATGGCATTGGGTGGCGCGCTTGGACGGGCTTGGGCGCCTGTGACGCCGCGGCACGTTGTGTGGCAGGCGTGGCACAAACTCACATCTACTGTCGTTTCACGTGGCAGGCGTGGCACCAACTCACATCTACTGTCGGGTTGCGTGGCAGGCGTGGGACAGATGGCATTGGGTGGCGCGCTTGGACGGGCTTGGGCGCCTGTGACGCCGCGGCACTTTGCGTGGCAGGCGTGGCACCAACTCACATCTACTGTCGTTTTGCGTGGCAGGCGTGGGACAGATGGCATTGGGTGGCGCGCTTGGACGGGCTTGGGCGCCTGTGACGCCGCGGCACGTTGTGTGGCAGGCGTGGCACAAACTCACATCTACTGTCGTTTCACGTGGCAGGCGTGGCACCAACTCACATCTACTGTCGGTTTGCGTGGCAGGCGTGGGACAGATGGCATTGGGTGGCGCGCTTGGACGGGCTTGGGCGCCTGTGACGCCGCGGCACTTTGCGTGGCAGGCGTGGCACAAACTCACATCTACTGTCGTTTCATGTGGCAGGCGTGGCACAAACTCACATCTACTCTCGTTTTGCGTGGCAGGCGTGGGACAGATGGCATTGGGTGGCGCGCTTGGACGGGCTTGGGCGCCTGTGACGCCGCGGCACTTTGCGTGGCAGGCGTGGCACAAACTCACATCTACTGTCGTTTCACGTGGCAGGCGTGGCACAAACGCACATCTGATGGCATTGGGTGGCGCGCTTGGACGGGCTTGGGCGCCTGTGACGCCGCGGCACGTTGTGTGGCAGGCGTGGCACGAACGTTCACCTACTGTCGTTTCACGTGGCAGGCATGGCACCAACTCACATCTACTGTCGGTTTGCGTGGCAGGCGTGGGACAGATGGCATTGGGTGGCGCGCTTGGACGGGCTTGGGCGCCTGTGACGCCGCGGCACTTTGTGTGGCAGGCGTGGTCCTTCCGGCATGTTTCTTCGTCCTTCCGGCATGTTTCTTCGTTCCGCGTGCTTCGGCATGTTTGCTTTTGGCATGTTTAAGTACTTTCTTCTGTCGGCTTTCTACGTGCTTCGGCATGTTTGATTTTGGCATGTTTAAGTTTGGTCATTTGCATGCAAAGACGCGGTCCTTCTGGCATGTTTCTTCGTTCCGCGTGCTTCGGCATGTTTGCTTGTGGCATGTTTAAGTTTGGTCATTTGCAGTCATTTGCATGCAAAGATGCGGTCCTTCCGGCATGTTTCTTCTTTCCGCGTGCTTCGGCACACACACACACATACACACACACAGACACACACATACACACACGTACACACACGTACACACACACACACACAAGCCCCTTTGCCACCACGAGCGTGGCCCTCAAGGGCCTCCAAGGGGGCGTAGCAACTTGGGTTCTTAGTGCGCTCCACAGAGCCGTTTTTATTTAGCTTGTGCCATTTCCTTTTCGGTGCTGCTGACATCGCGCTGCATTTTCATTGACAATCGAAATTCAATTAATTTGACAGCTGCTTTCCACTGATCAGACATTGGACTTGCCCATCACGACTCTGCCTTGGTTGTTCCTGGTTTTCGGGCGATTGTTGACCATATTCACAATTGATTTTCTTTGGCACGGTGTGAGCATTGATTTTTTTTCCTGGATCCAGAGAGATATTGATTTTTTCGCCCCACTGCGGGGTGACGATCACGACCAACTGAACTGGCTTGAGCGGCAGGAACTTTTCCATACCGCCGGCCTACATCCAAATTTTGGGGTGGGCTCCCACCGTATTCTGACTGGCCCAGACAGTACAATATTGACATTCAGACTTTTTTACATTTCATTTACAGGTTTCACCACATCTCTGCGGGGTGGGCCCCCGCCAAATCGACCCTGGCCCGGTGGTGCAATCAACCTCTGTTGTGATAACACAACACATTCTTTTTTGGTCAGACAGACATTGATTGGATCTTTTCAGGCTAGAAACCACTGCATTTCCAACACACAACAGCGGGTTTGGCCCCCGATTAAATCTCCCTGGCCTTGTGGTGTTTATCCAGTGGTTTTCTCTTCACGACGGCCTCAGCATCTTTACAGCGGGCTGAGTTCACTTGCGACACAGATCCCAGACCTCTTGTCCACTGGCGGAACGTTTGATTTTTTCGAGCACTCAGACGTTGCACCACCACTCTGCGGAATTGGCCCCCGTTCAAGCTTCACTGGCCAGGTGGTGCACTTCGTTTTGTACATTCTGGACAAAGGTTGCTGCTATTTAAGATTCAGCAAATCGCATTCAACAGATCAGCTCACCAGGACAGGCTTCTATCTGCATTTTATAATTTTGGGGATAATTTGCTTTCTCAGCTGCAAGCAGCCATTGCCAGAGGTGCCCCACCAAACTGCGGGGTCGGCCCCCGGATCATCCCAGGCCGGGTGGTGGCATCCTCTTACATTCAGGAATTTTTTGCCACAATTTGCCAGGACTTTGACATCCTTGCACAAACATTTTGGACTGACTCTCAAAACATTTACCCATTTGGGGTGGGCGCCCTGACTGACTGTCCCAACAATACAGAGGCTATTACCCAGGGGTGGGCTCCCTTTCTTTGGCTGGCCCAAGGAGACCGACATTGCAAGATTTTCTGGCGGGTGGTACAACAATTTTTGATTACGATTTTCGACCTTTTTGTCAGCAGCGGCACTTGCAACATTGATTTATTCTGGATTTTGCTTGCTTGGATTGTTTTCGGGTGCCTCCACTCCTGCTGGATAAGATTGCCCTTGAGTGGAGCCCTGACCATTTCCTTGCAGCCAGACGGCAGATTCACACGACCCTGTTGGACCAACTTGGAGACACGACAGAACCCACAAATTTTTGCTCCAGTACTCCCTGACTCTGATCCTGGTGGCAAGCCTGGTCCCAAGTCCAGGCGTCGGCGATTTGTTTCTTTTGCTTGGGTCATCACTGTTCTCCTTTTTTGGATGGCTGGACCTGTTCCTTTTTACATTGCCGACAGGGGCGAGGGTTGCACTCCGGCCATGCGGAGTGCTGAAATGTCACTGCCTTGGCCGTACCTGTTGAATATACCGAGTGACATGAAGCCACATGGCATGCAGCCACAAATGCGCAGTAGCGCACCAATTGTGCAGAAACCCATCCCCAATCGCAAAGTTGTGAAACGCAGCCTGCATAGGGCCCAGAAGAGAGCAAGTTTGCATGGCATGACATGGTATCGTGGTCAGTGCATGATGCCGCAAGATTTCCTGAATATGGGCATGCCTGCGCTGGCTACCCCAATACAGCCAAACAATGCGGCAGCTGCAACTACCTGCCACCAACAAAATAAGCCAAAGAAACGCCTGATGTGCATGACATGGAATGGTGGCGGTCTTGCCAGTCACAGACTTGACGAGGTAAAACAATGGCTCCAGATTCAACACATCCAGATTGCGGTAATTGCGGAGACAAGATGGACATTCCAGTCCACCTGGAGTGATCAATCATGGCACCACATCCATAGCGCTGATCCATCCCATCGTGGATCAGGGGTACTTGTACTAATTGCCAAAAGCCTTTGCCCTGAGTCCAACCTCCGTTGGCATGAGGTCATACCGGGACGTTTAGTGCATGTCCGTTTGATGATGCCAGCCCGCAACATAGATGTTCTTGGATGTTACCAGCATGTCTATACCAGAGACACTACATGTAAATCCAAACGTGAGAGTTTTTGGAAAGCCTTGGACCATCACCTTTCCATGCTGCCAAATAGGAATACATTAGTGATTCTAGGAGACATGAACTGTAGCCTCACTGAATCCAAGGGCTGCTGTGGCTCAACCTGTTTCAGGTGGCAAAACCAATTGCACCAGGGCTCATTCCATGCAGATGCAGGACGTTTCACGTCCCTCCTGAAACTGCATGGTCTTGTAGCGTTGAATACGTGGGACCCAACAACAGGCCCAACATTCTTGCAAAATGGACATGCCAGCAGGATTGACTACATTTGCACAAGGGCGCAATTTGCAGATGGCGGCGCCAAATCACCAAAGATCCTTTGGAATGCCCCGTTTATGCCTCTGACGCAGACAGGCCACGCCCCCATCCTGGGGCACCTGCCACTGTACTGGATCCCGCCTGACACACAGGTAAATGGGCTGACTCCACATCAGAGACAACAAGGCAGACTTGCTCAGATGACCAATACCATGACCTGGCAGACCTTCATGAACGCTGCCCCTGATGCCATTTGGAACCAACTGCAAACGGTCCTGACCTCAGATTGCCAAGAACTTGACACTGTCCATGTTACTGCGACACATGAGTTCAAAAAGCATTTTCCAGCCGTTAGCAAGACACTCTCACTTGCCCCATGGCAAAAGAATCCTGTGTTTTTTTCCAAATGGACCCACCGTAAGTTGTTTCTGCAGGCCAAATTACCTACCCTTAATGCGCTTTTTGGGGTTTGGTTCCACTGGGCTAGATTCCAATCCTTGAATCGTGAACAACGTAGGTATGCCACCTTTTTGCGCAAGCAGAAATTTGCAGAGACTGTTGCACTGGCACAGCAGGCGGCAAGCAGACATGACACACATCAACTGTTTGACATCATCAATAGATTTGCACCTAAGGCACCACTTCGAAAAATGCAGCTTCGCAATGAACAGGGCATTCTAATGACACCACCTGAGGAACGTAAGGTCCTGATTGATTTTGTCAAGACTACCTGGCAGGGGGATCCCATGAAGCCTTTGCCACTGGACAGGCCGATACCGGTTCCCTTCACGGTTGAAGCTCTTGCGGATGCACTGAGACGCATTCCATCGTCCAAAGCGGTAGCTCCCACATGCGCTCCAGGACTTATTTGGAACTCTGTGGCTGATCTGATTGCACCAACACTTCATGCGATTCTCACTAAGTGGTGGACCCCTTCAACACCATGGATACCAATTAATTGGCGTTCAGGATGGCTTCAACTCATCCCCAAACCCAATAAACCTCCTACTAGACCGCAAAATCTTAGACCCCTTGCACTCCAATGTCCGGTTGGTAAGGCTGTGATGGGGCTGATCATTCAACTTGCCACACAACAAGCAGACCCAGAGTTTCGAGCCTGGCCTCTTTGGGCCTTTTTATCAGGTAGATCGACGCAAGACCCACTGAATAAAGTTGCATCTCATTGTAGACAGGTTCGGGATTTGCTTACCACCCAAAAATCCACGCCGCACTCCAGAGCCATGAACAGACCAATTTTTTCGGTATTTGGGGGATTGCAAATTTTTGTAGATCTTGAGAGAGCCTTTGACAGTGTCAACCGTACAAAATTATTCAGCAAACTGGCACAAGTTAGGATCACTCCTGATCTAGCACAACTCCTGCAAGGCTGGCACGTTGAAACTGACTATTTTGTCACCCATGCCGGCGTTTGCACTGCAGTCCCGGTCCAAAAAGGACTGAGACAAGGATGTAAGGGTGCACCATTTTTATGGAACTGCCTTATGACCCTTGTGATGCAGAAACTCCATCAAACTGTCTCAATCCAGTGGATCCGGAACCATCTATCGATCTATGCAGACGATTGTCACATATGTGGCGTTTTTCGTAGCCAAGAGGACTTCCAGGCCCTCATTCAAACCATTGGTGTGTTTTTCCAGATTCTGCAAGATTTTGACCTGCGTTTGAATCCACATAAATCCGTTGCCATTCTGGAGATTCATGGACCTGGAAGCAAAAAATTGCGCAGTCAACACGTGCAACGTGACAATGCTGGAGAACGCCTGAAGATCACGCTCAGAGGCCAAAAAGATCTTTTGATTCCAATTGAAAAGCAAACAGTTTATCTAGGCTGCATAATGGGATATCATAGATTTGAAGATGCCACCACTTGGCACCGTGCCAAACTTGCACATGTTGGGTTCCTTAGACTGCGACGCTGGCTCTGCAACAAACACCGTTTCTCATTGCAGCACAGACTCCAACTTTGGCGCACCTGCATTGTTCCCATCATGACATATGGGATTTTTGCGGTAGGAATCACCAGCAGAGGCACCAAACACTTGCTGATACAGATTACCAAGATGTTACGGCTCATTGTGCATGATCACCCGCATCACACAGGTAATTCCAATGCATTTGTTTTTCAGCAATATCCCATTCCGAGCCCAGCGGATGTTTTGACGGCCGCTGTGAAATCCTTGCTCCAGTCTGTGGCCCAGCGACAATTGACGTGGAGACCAGATACCGTGGCAAACAGCCTCGATTGGACACCACTTGCCCAATTTCCGCAATTAATTGCGACAACCCAGGCAGCCATATCATTGCACCGTGTCGAGACTGCTCTCTCTGGAGAGGTACATTTCAATGGACCTTTGTACACATGTACACAATGTGCATTTCAGACCTCAAATGTTTCCAGTTTCAGACGGCATTGCACAGTGGAACATGGAATTAAAATGTTTAGAACACAGAACATCCCTTATGTTGCATGCATGACCAATGGACTCCCAGAATGCAGTTTTTGCAAACAAGTTTTTTCATCATGGCGCAATTTCCGGATGCACATTGAGCGTGGCTGCCAGGCCATCCTACTTGGACCACCAGCCTGCACCGGAGTCCTGACCAACATGGCCTTGCCAGCACCTGCCCCTGCATCCAAAAGAGGAGACACCATGTTGACAGCGCAGGAACTGCAATTGCTTTTGAATCAGCCTTGGGGCCAACGGGTATTGCAGCTCATTGCAGATGATGCATTGGACAATCTTGAACGTGAACAGGAAGCATGTCAGTATCTATCCAGATACTGCTGTCTTTGTGGACATCATTTGCACCGCACCCAGGACGTCCACTTGCATTTTAAAACTGAACATGCTGCCTACTGGGACCACGTACCCCAGAAAGCCTTGGTTCTCACAAATTTGCACAGCTCCGATGGTCCTTGCCCACACTGCGGGGGATATTTTCGCCAGCACAAGTGCCCTGTCTGGACGCAAATCTCTGTCTTGATGTTGCACGGCGCAGGACTGATGGCCTCTGATCAGATGCTCCCACCTGACGTGGTCCATCGATGCGAGGTATGCCTTGAGGTGCTGCCTGACATACAGGCACTGACACAGCATTTGAAAACCAAACATGGACTTGCCGGCATTTCCTATAATGTGGCACGCGACAGTTTGAGCGGCCAGGCGGCTTGCGCCCACTGTGGGAAGCCAATGAGCTCAATGGAATCCTTGCGCAGCCACATAGTGCAAGGACATTGCCCCAGTTTCAACCCCCTGGCAACTGCAGAAACACTGGAGCTTGATCCTGAATGGGTTGACATTTGCCTCCATGGCAACGCCTTTGCCAAGCTCAGAGCCCCAATGTCCAGACTTCATTTGACCTTGCGCTGCTTGCACTGCCCACAAACCTACAAACGGGCAGGAGACCTTGCCAATCATTTGATGACCAGCCACTCCCGTTTATGGCGCTGGTCTCAACGCTTGACGCTGCTTTTGGTCGAATTGATTTTTGCACGACATGGGTGCATGTGCAACCCACAGATCAACCAAGTTCGACAGAACCACATCTGTTTGCCCCTTAGGCAGCTTGCTATGGCCTACCACCGCCTGGATCCAGCTCCATTCATGCCTGTGCCCATCACAGAGAATGTGCTCAACCACTTGTTGCACAGTTCCATACCTAGGGACAGCCGTTTTGCTCTGATTCAACTTTTTGTGGACAGACGATTTGCTGATTTGTGGAAACTGCCGCAGGTACGACAGATGCTGAGCACCGCATGCCTGATGTGCGGCCATGCCCAAGAACCAGGTTTGATTTGCCGACATTTCTTTGAGGCGCACATGTGCACACATCAGTTTGTGGAGTTTTACATGGAAACACTGCTGCCGATGATGCAACAAGAGCTCACGACAGATTACAGATGTGATTTGTGTGGCCAGATTTTTAATTTGCCAGCATCGGATCCAGTCAATCCAGATGCTACCAGAGCAGGTCAGGTTCAAACCCATTTACAAGGGAACTGCCCGGTGCTGATCCAAGCCTCCTTGCTACTTGCAACTGCATTGAATGGAGGGCGACTTGGCGATGAGTGGCTGGGATTGGAACACCCAGCAACAGATACGGGACACCTTCTCGTACCTGGCGCCAATCTTCGACAAGTCCCTGCAGCTGCAACCCAATCCGAAGCCTCAGAAGGTGCGCAAGACGGATCCTATGCAAGAAGGCCAAGAAGATCACGCTCTGCAAGGAACAGACCCGGCACATCTCCAGAGATACCTCCTGGCCCTGGGCCAATCTTGTCCTACGACACGATCACAGCTTGAGCTTGCTGCAAAGCACAGACTCTTTCATACTTTTCTTTCAGCAGGACAAGGAGGGCTCACTACAGGGGTTGCTTCAGGAGACGCAGAAATGGCAGATGCAGCGACAGCAATCTCCGTCCCTGCAACAGCCACCTCTGAGACAACACCTGAGCCAATGGTTTCTGCTGGACATGCTGAACCGAGTGACCAAGGTCTCCGAGAGCAAGCCGGGCGACCCCCTGTACCAAGCATGCCTGGACAAGAATCTCATTCAGGAAGACATGAGCTGGACGTATCTGAGATGGGATGCAAACCAGAAGAAACTGCTGGTGGACAAGAAAAAGGCTGTCTCGATGGGCAAAATGCTCCAGCACATACAGGAGTTGATCGAGGACTTCAAAGACCCGACGCTGGTGGTGAAGTTCCAGGGATTGGCAACCAGCACACAGCAGCCCACGATCCCGTGGAAACTTCAACTGAACATGCGCATGGACAGGCCCTACGATCTTCTCCACACCCTGACACACAATGCGGTCTGGCTGTTGGCAGGCACTTCTCTCAAGACCCACTCTGCTCAACCGAGTCAACTGACGCGACAGGTGCAGAGCATGCTCCCACGACCCAAAGGAGGGGGCAAGGGGAAGAGCAAACACAAGGGCAAAGCTCAGACCACATCGACATCCTGACAATTGACGAACAATTTGCCTTGCGTCGGCTGACTTCAAAGATGACCTTGGCCAATGACGCAAGTTGGTGCTATGCCAACACAATGATGTTTGGAATGCTGTGGACGCTTCTGAGTCTGAATCGGGCCGATGCTGCTGATTGGGGGCCGCACTTCAAGTCACTGCAGCAATTCATTCATGATAGCATGCATCAACCTGTAATGCTCAAACAATATCCATGGTTCAATCAGTTGCTTGAGTGCTGGGGCATGCCACAAACCCAACAGGATTGTGGTGAGTTTGTTCGAGCTGCTTTACATTGGCTTAGCTCTCCATGTGTTGACATGAGCTGGGAACGACGTTTTGCGCACGCTGACCAAACATGTTGCCATGACCGTGGCACTGCAGAGATGCCATTGATTTTGCAATTTGTGGATGATCATGTAAACCTACCTTTTTGCAAGCTTGAAACGTTGATTGGCCCCTGGCATCAGGCTGCTGGCATGAAGACAGGCCTTTTGCATGGGGCGCCGATCCTTTGCGTGCAAATTGAGAGGATGATTGACAGTAACCCTGACCAGATCGAGAAATGCAGTTGTGCTATTGACCTTGACCATGAAACCATGATTCCCATTTTCATTCATGCTGGAACACAGTGCGAGCTGCTCAGCTACATCCCAGTAGCTGCCGCGGCCCATTTGGGCACTGATGGCGCAGGGCATTATCAGGCCCTCCTGAAGATCCAACCTACAGTGGTGAAGGAGACAAGCCCTGTGAAATGGCTTGTCACTCAGGACAACATGAGTCCTCAGGCATGCTGGACGGTCCCTGCCGCGATCAGCCAGAACCTGACACTGATATGGATGGTTCGTACAGATTGCCTGCAATTGCCGCCATATACTGAGTTGCCCATGGAGACACCAGATCCGGATGTACATGACGTGGGAGGCCTTTTGGCCCTGCTTTCCAAAACTGCTGATGCCAAAGGCCCTGGGTCAAAAGCACCATCCGACACAATGCAATGAAACTTTTTCTTTCTCCGATGCCAATCTGAATTTTCCAGATGTTTTGCGATGACCTGCACAAATCGAGAAGTGTAGGAACATGGGTTTCAGCCTTCAGATTCCATTAAGCACATGGAACCGGCAATAGCCGCTGGCTGGCACAGACCTTAGCAGATGCAAAAAGGCGTGTGAGCAAAAAAAAACACACACACACACAAGCCCCTGAGCGTTCAAGTGGTGAGGAACCACAGGTTAGGAGTGCCCCACGTCGCTCCTGGGTTTCTTGTTCGCTGGCACGGAGACTGGCGGCCTTGCTGTTGCTGCTGCATTGCGCTGCGCCGCGCTGATCAACGAGGACGTGCTGCTGCAGAACATTTGATCACTTTTCGGCATCGTTCCTCAAGATCTTCTTCTCCTGATTGACTGTTCTGATCTCTGGCGGAGCTACATCCACTGGTACATGACAGGTCTTTGGTGGTCTCTGGCACTGATTTTCCTTTTGCAACTGCTGGACAAAGTGCCCTTTTGCGCTACTTTATTTCCATTGGATTTCACTGCTACGACCATCTTGAGCAGCAACTGTCTGGTCTTGATCAGTGACCATCGATTTTGTGCCGAACCCTTGAACGCTCCTCGGTCCCAATTCCGAGGATTGCACTACAAAGGATTTGCTCTGATCTTTTTTGCTTTGGTTTTGACGTTGAACTTTTCTCCCATTAGTGCAATTTGGGGTGAGGGTTGTGTCACATCCATGGGTGACATGAGAGCGGAATCAGCTATTCCTTCCTGGTCTTCTGGTTTTTCCGCAAAACAACATGGATTGGAGCCCAAACAGATTTTCGAATCACGACAGACTAGCATGCAACGTGAAGTTTGTAAGAGGAGCTACAAAAGAGCGCTCAATCGCGCCACCAAACATGGAGTTACTTGGTACAAAGGCAGGTTGTACACAGCTTCACAACTGGGAGCCAAACCCCATTCGCAACAGATGAATGTGGCCACCAAGAATGTGGAGCCATCTCGATCAATTCAGAGGAAAAGGTTAACATGCTTTTCGTGGAACTGCAATGGCTTACCGCCTGCTCATTGGGACTTTTTGATGATGTGGTTGGAGAACCAATCCGTTGATGTTCTCCTACTTCAGGAAACTCACTGGCCATTTTCTCGCGACTGGCTAGCTGGGAAGTACATGATGATCCACTCGGGCACCAAAACCAAGCAGGCCGGGTTACTTTGCATGGTCTCAACTAGAGTCTGCAGTGCCTCTGCTCTCTCTTGGCATGAACATGTTCCGGGTCGGGTCTTGCAACTGAGAATCCATGGGGCAACACGTTGTATTGACATCTTGAACATTTATCAATACACCTGTATACCTTCACACATGGAATCCCGCCTACAGATCTGGCAACTTTTGTTTCGACTGCTATCCACATTCTCAAGAAGGAATATCTTACTGATGACTGGTGATTTCAATTGCTCTGCAGTTCAACGATCCGATGCGGTGGGATATCCAACGTTCAGCAGCTGCGGCACAAGATGTCATGGACCCAGACATCCTGATGCTCATCATTGGCATCAACTGCTTGTGCAGTATGACTTGTCGGCCCTCAATACGTGGAATGCAGGTGACAATGCTACTTATGAATTTTGCTCTCAATCTTCTCGCATTGATTTCATTTGCACACGTAGGAGTCATGCTGACAATGTTGCCAAGGATGTCAAACAACTCCGTGATTTCCCTCTTGTTCCGTTATCTGGTGCTTTTCATATCCCCCTCATGACTTCTATCAGGCGAGACTGGTATCCGGCACAGCCATCCCCACCCTCTGGATGGACGAGACAACAGAGGCTGGTCTTGAGCCAACACTGCAAGAATCAAGATGAGTTTTTTCACTATTTCAAACAACAGATCAACGAGACCGTTCAAGATCTACAACATAACCATAAATCGGACCTACATTTACTTCATCAAACTTTGAACCAATTTACCAGTTCATCTTTTCTGCCAGCCAAGACTCCTTCGACTGCACAACGGGATATCAAGCCTTTTCAACAGTTTCAGGAACACACAAGACAATTGCGACAGCTCACTGGAGATGGACTACCATGTATCTTTCAGGCCTGGTTCCACATATGCAAACGCAGCAGAGCCAGGAAGTCTATGGCCACTGCAGCCAAGTTGAACAGGAAACTCAGACTCGACCAGGTCTTTCATGCCGCTGACCTCGCTGAGAAGGCCCATGATCACTTTACTCTCTTTCAACACATTCGATCACTGGCACCCAAACAACCCATGAAACAGATCATGCTCAGATCGGACAAAGGAGAACTATTGGGACCAGACGATGCAGCTGATTGGCTTCAACAATGGTATCATGAGCTTTATTCGGCTGGGGACTCTGATTTTTCTGTATCAGCATTTCAATGGCCGTTTTCACAACAAGAGTTCATGCAGGGCTTGCAGACATTGCCCACACACAAGGCCCTGGCGCCTGCGTTTACTCCTGCACCCTTCTGGAAGTACGGTGCTGTGTCCATCTCTCAGTATCTTGACCAGATGCTACATGACTGCAGCGCTGCTTGTGAGTTTCCGGACATCTGGAGTACTGGCACAATTGCCATGCTCGTCAAGCCAGGCAGAAGTGGTCGACATCCTTCTGAACTTCGACCCATTGCCCTGTTGGAGCCTTCAGGTAAGACGGTGATGGGTTTGCTCACCACTGCCATTCAACAGCAAATCCAGTCCACCTTGAACAGGTTGCCACAATTTGCTTATGCAGTTGGACGTGGAACAGAGGACGCAATCCACAGATTAACAGAACACTGCAGACTGGTACGCTCAACATTGCAAGCATTTTGTCTTCCAGTCCATAGCATGAAGCAAGGACGACCTCTTCCTCCGGTGGTGGGTGGCATGACACTATGTCTGGACCTGACTCGGGCATTTGACACGGTAAATCGACAACGGCTTTTTCAAAGTCTTGAGAGATTAGGAATTTCAGATGATTTAATCAACCTGTTGAAATGTGTTTACAACAAAACGACGTATGAATTCACACATCGAGGTTCATACAGATCTGTGCCGACAAGACGTGGCATTCGACAAGGTTGTCGTGCTGCACCATGTTTATGGACCGTCTTTGTCTCAGCGCTGATGATGGACATTGAACGCCATATTTCTCCTCAATTTCTTCTTCTATGTATCACTATTTTTGCTGATGATATTTGCTCACATCAAATGTTTAACAGTGAGGACTCCTTCATTGCCCTGATCAAATCATTTGGAACCCTCCTGGACCTGATTGAATGGGCTGATCTGGACATCAATTTGGCAAAGACCACTGTGACGATGCGCATGAGGGGCAAACTGGCGGGCAAACTTCAACGTCGATTTGTTGTCAGAACACAACAGGGAGCTTTCATCAAAATTCCTAGATCAGATGGCTCATACACCAAGATCAGACTTGTGCGTTCTTTCAAATACTTGGGAGTGATGTTGTCATACCACAATTTTGAACATGAAACAATGGCACTTCGTATCAAACACAGCGACCAATCTGCACATCAGCTTCACCGCTGGCTCTTCACTCAGCGCCTGAGTGCACAACAGAAAGTTCGATTGTGGTACCAATGCATCTACACTTGTTTAAGATACGGGATCATTGCCACCGGGTTCACTGACTCCACACTGCTTCAATTCTACAGATTCAGCATTAGGCAGTTGAGACGAATTCTACGTGAACCTGTCCACTTGACCCATGAAAATAACAAGTCGTTCTTGCAGAGACACAACCTCCCTGATCCGCTTTTGCGCCTGAAGAGCATTTGCCTTCAAACTGCCACGCGCTCATTGCAACGACAATGGACCCTTGCTGATGATGACATCTTGAATCTCACACCGTTGCCGTGCTACGACCATTTACTGCAGGTCATCGACCAGGTGAACTCAGATCTGCATCTCGTTGAGGTGCCAGAGACACTGACTCAACATATTTAGTCCATCTTGCAACACTGTATTTGCTACCCTTGCGGCATTGCGTAGGCACTGCACAGTGGCCCATGGACAACGATCAGGTCTGATCCGTTTGACTGCTTCACATCCTCAACCTGACACACCTACATGTCTCCGATGTGGTACCAAATTTAGCACATGGCACCGATTGCAGTATCATGTTCAATATGTTTGCTGCAACGATATGCAGGAGATAGATCAAGTTGAACACCGACTTCGAGTTCAAGAACTGCTGCAGTTTGCAAGAGCTCATCAAGTTGCAGCTCTTCGACACAATTTGGCAGTCCTGACGTATTTCATGCATCACTGCGCAATTTGTGGGAAATTTCATTCTACGGTTACAGGGCTGATGCGTCACTGGAATGACCAACACCACAAGTCATACAGTGAGCATTTGTCAGTCCTGCAATACTATGAGGCGCATGTTGACACAGGCAACCCATGCTGTCTTTGCTCATCTTCTTTCTCACAATATCACAGATGCATCATCTGGCGTCAACTGGCAATGCTCTTGACTGAGCTACAGATGACAACGGAATTTTGTGATGTCACTGAAACTGTTCAGCTCAAATGTGAACATTGTGGCAAGGCCTACACCACTCGACATGGCCTTGCTCAACACATCCAGAAGTTCCACAAAGCCCAACAGGTGCTGAATTCTTCCAATTGGAACAGCTTCACTGCTAAATGCCTCTTCGATCAGGCGGTGCAAACGAATCGATGTGAGGACTTGATCTCTGACCCGGACATTCTTCATTTCATCTCTTCTGAGTGCTTTGACTGCAGTATGCCCTTTCGTAGACGCCAAGATTTATCTAGGCATTTGAAACAAGGTCATCCTTCTGAATGGGCAGAGATGGAACACAGAGCGTCTGCATTGACAGCCAGCTTGAACTGCGCACAACGCTGTCTTTGTGTTCCCCCTCAGCATCGGGTCAAACATCTATGCCTGGTCTTTCTGCAATTTGCACTGGCAAGGATCCTATGGGAACGTGATCAATGCCCTGCAGCAGATGGCTTGCCGCCGGACTTAGCCATGCAACCTCAAGAGAAGATGGAACAGCTGCTCTGGTTTGGCTTTGCTCATCTCCTTTACAGACAGCCTGCACTGAAACTAGCGATGACCCTGCACTGCATGTTCTGCGGATTTACATGCAGGAACGGTGATGCGATGGTACTTCATCTACATCAACACCATGAAGCTTTGGTCGCTGAGAGCTCGATTCAACTTCAGCTTCTTCGCTGGGTGTTGTTCCAGGACTTTGGATGTGCCTGTAACCCTACCAGAGGTTTTGGGGTACCTGACCACACGTGCCCGAGCTTGATTCAGGCAGCTATGCTCTGTGTGCAGGCGCACTGGCCTTTGACCATTCCTTGGACTTTCAAAACCAGCGATTTACTCTCGCACCTGGGGGACCTTTTGCCATTGAATGATTTCAGACGCATCTGCCTCTGGATGCTCACCAGGCAATTCCATCATCTGTGGAAAGACCCGGCACTGCTTCGAGTGCTGAAGAGTCACTGCACTCTTTGTGGGGAAGCTGTGACCTTACAATACATCACTGTGCACCTCCACTTGGAACATCAATTGGGTCCGAATGATTTGCATCCAATCGTCGTGCAACTTTGCAGGATCTACAGCGTTGAGCACTCAGAAGATCCTCATTGCGATCACTGCGGTGAGTTGCTGCCAACGATGGATGTTTTAGCATTTGATCCGGTGCCTGCTCTTCATATGCCTGGATGTCCATTGGTCCTGCACATGGCAGCTTTCTTGATGCATCTGGTGCTGCACAAAGCACCTTATGACCCGCTTGCATGGCCGGATCCACAGGCAATTGAAGCTTCCTTCCGTCGTCAAGACCATCAGCACCAGCTGTTCAACGCTCGACCCTCAGATACCGCTGGCCAGGAATTTGACCTCTTGGTGTCATGTGGTCATCGAATGTTACAAGACAGCTTGCTTTTGGAATCACTCAATCATCAATGCCTCATGTGTCAACGGACGTTTTACATGCCCGGTGCCTTGACATCACACCTGAAGCAGCATGACTTCAAACAATACAACACATTATGGTGCCTGAGACGACTCCAAATGACTTGTGGCACTTGCCCGTGCTGTGGCTCAGATTTCCACACCGCTCCCACTGGCTGTCCTGCGTTGCTGAACCTTGCTGTCCTCCTCACAAATGGGCGACGCCCTAGACAAAGCGAATTCAATCTGGGGATCTCTTCTGACTCCTGGCCAACTTCACAGCTTGGGGATTCATCCAGAGGACGAAGACAAGCCATTGAAGAGGCCACGACGCAAAGAAAAGGGTTCTTCGACAGCTGGCTCATCGGACGATCAAACTCAGACAATGCTGAAGACGATGGCTCGAATCATCCTCAAACACGAGGACTCGATTCATGTGCTGCTTCAGGAGTTCGAGTTCGTGATGTTTCTCCAACCGGGAGAAGGGAGCCTACTGCCAGTCTTGATGGCATGTCATCAGAAGTGGCTGAAGGGAGATCGCTCCCAATCCTTGCGTCACACAATGGCCCTTCAAACCATCGAGACGGTGAAAGATCGACTGGACAAGCTGAAGGCCGCTCCAGCCAGTGCAGACTTGGTCCAGGACTGCATCCGCTTCAATCTCATCGACTCCCAACAGATGATGCCTTATCTGAGATGGGACACGAGCACACAGAAGTTAGTGCCCAGCAAGGAGAAGCCGCTCCCGATTGGAGAAGTGAGCAGAATCATCGACACCATTGTCAAGATCCTTCAGTCGGAACCAGAAATCACTCTCAGATTTCATGCACTCTCCAAGATCACAGCCGAGGACACCAGCAACAAATCGATCCCGTTTCTGTGGACAGTGGGCCATCGCACTCAAGGGGAACTGTGGAATCTCTTGCGAACCGTGTCATTTCACAGCATCTGGCAACTTGTGAGGTTGACATTGAGGCCACAGACCCAACAAAGGACGGCACTGTCCAAACAGCTGGGACGGATGTTGTAGATGATCTACCCAAGCACATGGTGCGTATCTTGGAAAACGACACATCAACGATGTGCTTTGCCAATGCTGCTATGCAGGCCTTGACTTGGTGCACATTGCTGTGCAAAGGCCTTCACCCAGACCAGTGGGCCTATGGCTTCGAACTTTTGAGGGGATTGAGTCAATGGAATCCCGTTCCGTTGAACCTGAGGGTATTTCAGCCATTTGTGTGGCTGCTATTTGGGGCCTTCACTGAGCACGACTTGCTGTCACAACAGGACATTCTGGAATTTACAGCCTTCATTTTGGATCGCTTGGCTCCCACTTTCATTTCATGTCAATGGTGTACCAGATTCCAGCATGTTGCATAGGTGCCACATCCGTGGCTTGACAGTGAAAAAGGCGACCGCTATGCACCCATCCTGCTCAGATTCATCGATCACATGGCAGTGGAATGCAGTTTAGAAACACTCATCCATCACTGGCATGACTCCCAAGGTCTTTGTCGAGCAAGTAACCAGGCTTGCCCCTGCCTCATTGTCATGTTTGACAGGCACATCGAAGGTCAGAATCGCAAATGCAATCAGAAAGTCATGTTCACTACAGACTTTATTTCATTTCCGTGCTTTTCCAATGCTGAAGGGATGATCAATTTTCTTCATTTTCGCATTGCGGCAGTGACATTTCATATTGGAGAAAGCCCTCATTGTGGGCATCACCGTGCAGCACTGAAGTATCACGGCAATTGGATGGTTTATGATGACAATAGACTCCCAGACATTGTCCCCCAACTCAATGACAAGATCCTGAGAAATCTCACCATGATGTGGCTGATCCAGTCGAATGACACTGCTGACAGGACTATGACTGGCCGGTCTACTTCTGCTCCTGGCCCTGCAGATGGATCAGCTCGGCCTCATGAGGATATGCCAGCAGTTTCCTCGGATGCAACAGCACCAAGTGCCAAAAGACCACGCACAGATCCTGAAGGATGACACTCCCACAGTACAAAGTTTTGCCATGCGATCTTCTTCGCCGGCTCTGATGAGTATGCGTTCACTTTGACACAATTTTGGGAAGCTGCTGAATTGGCATTTTGCCACGTGGCTATGTTTTCACCACCCCATGGACGCTGTATCAAATGGCATTTTGCCAACACCTGGCAGGTACCTTCGAATTGGCAGCCATTTTGGCGTGGACTCTATGGGCATTTTGCTCTACAACTAGCCTTGCAGGCGCTTTTGACTTCTATGACATGGACATCTTTTTCAAGCACCCTGCCCCCAGGCAGGCTTATCCCTCGGGCCTGAGCAACCCTCAGGTGGACCCCAGACCCCCCCCCAAAAAAAAAAAACTTTTGCGCTGTGCCGATGCTTCTTCGAGCTGCGCTCAGCTGCTGTGTGGCTGCTGAGAACGGGCTGCGGAGCTGCTGCGGGGCTGCGGAGTTGCTGCGCGCTGATGGCTGCGCGGGCCGATGCAGTGCTGGCTGCAGGGCAATGCAACTGCCGACGAGGACGTGAGAGGCCTGTCCATTAGCATCTGTTTTCACATTTCACTTCATTGTAGCTCCACTTACACCATTAATTCATTTTCATTTCTCCGGGTTGTCCCATTCATCTCTCACAACTACTTGAGATGAATTTTTGGACATCCAGTCAGCCCTATGGGGCGTTTCTTTTTGCTAGTCTGAAGACCCATTCAAGGGCACGGACACAAAGCTGCCGGTATTGGGCCACGAGCAATAGCTTGTGACGGGCTCAGCCTGCTGACACGAAAAGTCAAGGGGTTGCAAAAAAAAAAACACACACACAGACACACACACACAGACACACACACACACACCCACACGCACACACACGCACACACACACAGACAAACACAGACAAACACAGACAAACACACACACACACACCCACACACACACACAGACAAACACACACACACACATCATCCAAACGCCAGTCGTGGGCCATCCGTTTTCGTGATGGTCTGCGCTGTACGTTTGCGGACACATAATCAATGGTCACGCATCGATTGCCCTTCGCTGCACTTCCTGGCGTGGGGCATCTTTGATCGTGGCCGCACACCACACACACATACTCGCACACACACACACACACGCACACCCACACACCTCACCCACAAACACAACTCATCCATACACAACTTACTCACACATACTCGTCCACACATAACTTACTCCACACCAATCCTTCACCATCTCTTTTCTCTTTCTTGCTTACCCCATGCCGTCTTTGCCTTTCTTTTGTTGCTTGTTGGAAGAAGTTGACTTGTGGGGTTATCCGGTCCTTTAATTTTTTCTCCAAGTACTACATCTGGGTTGCTACTTGTTGAACGCTACTAGATAGATTTGTTTGCAAGCAGCGCACCCAAAAATCTGGTGGTCTAAAACGTATTTGTTCCTTGTAACAGAATCATCACATAAATACATAATTACACTACATAGAATACAAAGACACAAGTATACAAAAACTCATTAGCGGCTGAATGTGCTTTAATCTCAATTGTTCATGGTCAAATCGACAGTAATCATTTAACCACAGTCTCTGGGCCGATCACCATTTGATTCTTACACCATTTTCAGCAGAGCTAAAACACCATCTGTTTTCAAGCATGTTTCTCCATTTTTCATGGGTTTGTTTCCCGCTTCTGGCCCCCAAAAATGCCAATGTCCTCAGGTGTTTTGAGGGCCTTGGCCTCTGAGGCCCGGGTCAATTGGTAGATGTTGGGATCCTATCCCCCAAATGTCGGCAAGATATTCCAAACGAATGCTGGGATACCTGAAAATGATAGAAACATCATGAAACATCTGTTCTGTGGGATATCCTATGATAACTTATGATATTCATAGCTGGGATGATGCCAGATCATGATCCTGGATGACGAGCACAATGTTTTCTTGGGAGCTTGTAACCACTAAACAGATCATGGTTGGTGGTCCAACAGACTTGGCGGCACAGCAAAATCCTGGGACAGATTATTGCCCATATTTCTCCAAAATTTGTCCCAGGATTTGTCCATATTTCTCCATATTTTTTCTCCATTCATGATGATTTGCAATCATTTTGAAAGGACTAACATGGACAAATGATGACGAATTGTCATTTTAAGAGGGAAAATGATCATGTTTCACAAGCAGAATGGAGATTTAACCAGCAACAAAATTGGTGGAATGGACTAGAACCAACAATCACAAGATAGAATCGGAGACGTGATTACGCTCCATCCAACGAACAATGTCCCATTTGGGGCTTCCAAAGTCATGGGGGATCCCCAAGTCGCCATGGTCATGGATTCTTTGGAGGTAACCGTAGGTAAGCCACTGGGAGTTTTCGTAGCACTTCCGAGTCCTCCAAGTTCTGAAATGGAAGTCCATCTACCCTCTGGTAATGACTAACATAGCTATTGAAAATGGCCATAGAAATAGTGGATTTTCCCATTAAAAATGGTGATTTTCCATAGTTTTTTGTATGTTTACCAGAGGGTATACAAGATGGTACACCCCAGTCTTGTTTGTTGGTTTATAAACCAGTGTAATCCCGATTAACTAGTTGGACCACGGCCCTTAGACGGCCGTGGCGTTTTGTTGGCGTGGGGTGGGGTGGGGCATGTATTCACGTTCATGTGAACTTGCACATGAAGTAGATGCTACGCTGTGGCTGTCGGTTGGGGCATGTATTCATGTTCAAGTGAACTTGCACATGAAGTAGATGCTACGCTGTGAACACAAGACAGCTGAAAAAGTGTGGAAACCAAGTCGTTGCAGGCTGTGAAGAATCCACAAAAATGTTCTTTTCATTCTGCTGCCTGTAAATGAGGCGTTGACAGGCTTTACACAAAAATAACACAATCCTACTGGCACGAGCACATCCAATATCATCGGCAACTTCCCATGAATCAAAAAAAACACACGGCCATCTAAGGGCCGTGCTCCCAGTTCGACATATTTTTTCTGAATCCATCTAAATCCCAGTTATTGAACTTATCAAACAACAGAAACCTACCCTGGGGGCCCACCTTGCAAGCATGGGTAGGGTTAGTAATGATGGGCAAAATTATTGGCAAAAGCAACGGACTTTGGATGATAATCATGATGAGTTCAAATGTCTTGGAACTGAAATGAATTCTGAGTTGGACTTGACGAAAGCTACATCGCCATTTGCAGTAGCTACATGCGGACGGCCAAATGGGTGGAAATAAATTCCGCAACCTAGGAAGAAGCCAATAGAATGTGGGTATTCCGAAGCCATTGACAACTGAGTCATCATACCATGGCTTTTGTTTCAATGGTGCTGGTCAAGACTTGCAATATGGAACACCCAAGAATAAGCCATACCTCATTTGTTTGCATCTGGGGCAGTTCTCTCCAGCACTCCTTAAACTTGCGAGACATAAATCAGGATAGAAATCCATAGGAATCCAATTCCAATTAAAAAATCCGGGGTCCCAGGGTCTTTAGACATGTAGATATAGGATGATATAGGTTAGTCTGAAAATGGACCTGTAAATCTCATGGTTTTCCACACGTGTCCCCAATTTTGCGCAATTAAGCTTGCCATTTGTTTCCAATTATAACCAGTTATTATATTTGTAGTCATTTTTATTACTGTATTGACTGGTTATACCCACATGAAGCAATCACCGTTATCACCATTTCTATTCAGAAGATATATCCTCCTGTAAACGAACATAGATGTGGAAACCCACCATGAATGTAGACATGGTTCCGAACGGGAATTCGTAGGTTTTCCACATCTATGACATCTATGTGAGTTTTCCACATCTATTCAGAAGATATTGTGCATAATATAACGTATAAATATTTATATAATATATAATATGCGTATATATATATATACAACTATATATATATATTACTGTATATTTATAAATACACATATTACTACATATATAATATTTATATATTTATTACTATATACCATATAGCATCCCCAAGATGCATTTCTCACTGTTCAACGGCCGGAGTTTTTCAGCACTGCCAGGTCACAGAGGCGAATGCGGGAAGCTCTCAGGGTCTTTTCACCCCCAAAAAATGGTCGTTTTCCATGGGTGAAAAGCGTGGTTTTTACAAAAAAAAAAATCTGGGGATGGAATGGAGTTACCATTTTTTAAAGATATATTTAGATGTTTTTAGACAATTTGAGGCCACAGACACCCAGAAACCCCAAAGATGAGGTTGTCTTACTCCGTGGAATTTAGAAAACAAGGAGTGAAGCACAATCTGGTTGACTGATGTTGATTGTATATGTTGCGACAGATTTGCTAGGCTGCTAGGTGTCCTTTTTCCACCGGGTGAACGTCCACCCACAAAGTCAACTCGCATGGGATAGATATATGCAGAACATGTTGGAATATGATGGATGTTGAAATTATGATAATAAAATTTAGTAATTATCAATGTTCAGTTCATGTTAGCTACCTACATTTTGGTAGAATTTTGGAGTCTAGATTTGTGATCTTGAGTGTCCTGTCCCTGAAAGCGGTTTGGTGCCCACCCATTCCTTCACGTCTCCCAGTCAAAACTGTGGATATCAGTAACCCATTGGTTGGTGACATCCAATGTTTACTGGGGAATAAACACCGCAACTCAAATCTAAGAGTGGACCCAGCCCCGGATATGTGACAGGAAATATATTTTCAGTGCTTCTTCAGGTGGGTTTTGGCTTGGATTTCTTGTACGTACGACGGAAATGGGTTCCAAACGCACTACCTCTCAACCCTCCAGTACAAGACTGGTTTGCAAACATGCCTCTTGACGAGCTTTTGAATTTGCAAGCCAACAACAAGGTTGTGAAGAATGCTGAAGCATTTCTAGCAGAGCGTCACGCAGCCACCTGTGTTCACAAAGTGAAGGCATCCAGGACTTCAGTGACGCCTACTTTGCATGCTTCTGCATGCGGTATTGGTATATATAGTATGAATCAGTAATCACCAACATTAGCTAATAGTAATTGTCCTTAATCAATCTTAATCAGCAATCACCAACACTAGTAATCACCCTTAATCACCATATTAAGGGTTGGTAATTGTCCTGTTCCAGGGCTTTTTTGGACATCGACCTGGTGCCCTGGTTTGACAGTCATGGCCTGTCCCACATAAGAAGTGCATAGATTTGCCACGCGGAGATATAGGAGATATGCTATGTGTATATCTGTATATCTTTATATGATACATATCTTTCTTCTCAATCTATCTGTATATAATAAATATAAACTATCTATCTATCTATCTATCTATCTATCTATCTAATCTAATCTAACCTAATCGAATCTAATCTAATCTAATCTAGTCTAAACTAATCTAGTCTAATCTAATCTATCTATCTAATCTAATCTAATCTAAGCTGATCTAATCTAACCTAATCTAATCTAATCTAATCTATCTATCTATCTATCTATCCATCTATCCATCTATCCATCTATCCATCTATCCATCTATTCATCTATCTGTCTATTGTCTATCTGTCTATCTGTCTATCTGTCTATCTATCTATCTGTCTATCTATCTATCTATCTATCTATCTATCTATATATCTATCTATCTATCTGATCTGATCTGATCTGATTCTGATCTGCTCTGATCTGATCTGATCTGATCTGATCTGATCTATCTGATCTATCTGAACTTTCTAATCTATATATCTATCTATCGATCTTTCTATCTATCTATCTATCTATCCATCCATCCATCTATCCATCTATCCATCTATCCATCTATCTGATCTATCTGAACTTATCTAATCTATCTATCTATCTATCTATCTATATCTATCTATCTATCTATCTACCTCTCTATCTATTTATCCATCCATCCATCCATCTATCCATCTATCCATCTATCCGTCTATCCGTCTATCCATCTATCCATCTATCCATCTATCCATCTATCCATCTATCCATCTATCCATCTATCCATCTATCTATCTATCTATCCATCCATCCATCCATCCTATCTATCTATCTATCTATCTAGCTATCTAGCTATTCATACATAAATTACATTATTTTGCATCGCATTACATTACATTACATTACATTACATTATATTACTATATATTACTATAATTATATTTATATATACATATTACATACATATTCCGATGTACAGGCCGAAGACATCTTCCCCAGCTTGCTGCTTCTTGACTCGGTGGAAAAGGTTTATGGATTTCCCGGACGGGAAGATTTCCAAGTTCGATAATGTAGGTAAAACAACAAAAAACACCACCCATGACTGGGAATGCTGGTAAAACCACCTATTTATGTTGTTTTGGGTGATTAATTCCAGGGACAAAAAAAATCAACAATTCCATGAAAGTCCACAACCTGGTGAAGGCAGTGAAATTCACACTTGTTTTTTTTGTTTAGCTTTGGTGAAACTTGAGTGGAATTCGAACACATGGTGAACATTTCGTGAAAACATCTTCCAGGACCTTGTAGAAACTCTTCGCGAAAACGTGGTGATCATTTGACGAAAGTCTGTTGAAAACAATCAATTTGTGAAACTTATTGAAATAAATTTGTTGCAATCCGGACCCGATGGTAAACCAAAACCCTTCTCTGTCCTCTGAATTTGACTAACACTGACAGTTTTACAGTTAAATCTTAACAACTATGTCATATCAAATTTGAACCACTATGTCATATCTTAAGTTTAACAGCTAAATTGGAACAACAATCTTATCATCCAACTAAAATTCAAAACATCCAGTCCTCAGCCAAAAAACATGTCCAATTCTCTTGGTCAAATCAAATGGCCGTGACTGCCATTCAAAATCAGGTACCTAAACTGTGGTTTTAACATATGTTTAAATATGATGTATATTATATATATATACACACTGTATATATATACACTGTATATATATATATATCATCATCTATCCTAAACTATTGGTTTATATGATACACTATCTCTCTCCGTTTGGCTCCATCTCCCAAGGTTGCCGTTGGAGCGGACGACCGCTGCTGCTGAGGTGGGTGTCGGTGAAATGGCGAAAACGATGTGTTTTCCATATCAAAAATGGTGGGAAAAACATGAAAAACCATTGATTTTATGATTTAATTAATTTCGTTTCCAGTAGATATTGAACCAATATTTGATTTCATAGATATTGAAACAATATCTGACCTGGGTGTGAATGTCCCATAGTACCCCTATTCACATCTAAAGTGCCTCTAAGTTTCAGTGGGCCGCATGGGTTTGTCTGGGAAAAAACATGACAAAGTCGTCCACCCGACTTTGTGTCACACCCTAAAAATATCTCAAAATCGAGTATTTACAAGATCTGTGTATCCATTGTATGCATGATTCATTGCTTAAATCCCAACTTGAGTGGTAAGCCTGGTAACATCTGGTAACAATTTGCGATTGGTTAAATCAAAGCCATGTCTAAAATGCGTGGTTTGTTTCATTTCCTTAAAATGATCTTCCACTACCCCATTGGGTGGACTGAGCTTGGCGGAACTGCAGGACGATGAGTTGGTCTTCAACAGCAACTGGTCCCCTTCTTGGAGATGAAAAACTGAGATGATTTCATTGGTACTACTCCACTAGGATCAAGTATGGATCAATGTATGTGATATATATATATATATGTATGTATATATATGTATATATATATGTATATATATATATACATATGTATATATAATATATGTATATATATATTGTTTGTTTTGCAGTGTTTGGTTGATTAGTCTCCATTGAAGCAACAACAGGTAGATGACGGTTGAGTGGTTACCAAAGCGGCACCTCGAGTGTTCCCAAAAGGATATCAGTGATATCAGTAGCAGCTTTTGATGGTTTAATTGTTGGCCATTGATCAATGTGAAATAGAGGAATATCTTGGACAGTGCCCTGCCAGTAACAGCATAAGACAGCCCAGAATACGTACATTGTCCCAGAGAAACCCTTCTGTTTTCATCCGTTTCTTGCATCCTAAAATCTGTTTGTATCTTTGAAAAACATGGGCAAAACATGTTGTCATATTCTCCTGCCGATATGGGTTTGTCATGTACCCCAAGAGTCCATTGGTCAATCATTTATTGTTGAAATGTCGGTACACGATACACAACCAGTGAGATCTTCTCAGGTACTGGGTCCCAGTTTTCGTGCATTTTAAAGTGAAATACTCAATTTAGATCTTGAATACAACTCCTCTAATTTCCATTCTCAACATGTTTTTTCACATAAATATTATAGATCAGCTTGCACCACAGTCCTAAGGTTGGGTGGCTTGAGTAGAAGGAGTTCTGCCATTAGCGTGAGCCCAGTTTCTAGCTCCATTGGTGGATGATGCCAGAGGGGTGGATGACGCTCAGATGCTTTCTTTTATTATCTGAGTTTAACACTTTATGATACTTTAGGTGTATATAAGTATATCTATATAATTTTATATGATTAATTATACATACATTATATATATATATACAACTCCTTCCTTCTCTCATGTCCAACACGTCAGTGCAAAGATTTTGTCTGGAGGTACACTCGGATGAGGCAAGGGTTGCCCTGGGGCGCGAAGCGCGGGTACAAGGTGGTGCTCCGCAGTTATTAACTATGTTCTATGTTTGTTTGTAATAAGTTGGTGCGTAAATCCCATCAGTTCCACTCATGTTCGATACATACATATATATATATATACAAACATATTATTGATATAGATAGATAGATAGATAGACAGATAGACAGATAGACAGATAGACAGATAGACAGATAGACAGATAGACAGATAGACAGATAGATAGATAAGATTAGATAAGATTAGATAAGATTAGATAGATTAGATCGATGAGATAGATTACTGTAAATATAGTTGATATATATAGATAGATAGATGGATGGATGGATGGATGGACGGATGGGATGGATAGATGGATGGATGGATGGATGGATAGATAGGTAGATAGATAGATAGATACATGGATGGATATAGATCTCAGTCATTGAGATTATCAACCAGCTGAAACCATCTGAGACCTATCTTTGGTGGCCCACGTCTAAAATAACTCTGTATCACTGCTTTTTGTCCCCGGCCTGCCAGATGTCAGTGGCATTCCCATGTTCTCCTGCTGAGACGACGCCGGGATACCTAGGTGCTGCTCATCTCCAACATTCATTGGGGTCTATTAAGCAACCTCCACAAGAAAGAAATTATATAGACCTATGTTAAAACATGTTAAGAATTTAACCTTTTCATATACCTCTCCTATCTTTTTTTGTGGCGACTATAACCCCCAAAAAACCCAGAATGGCTGCGATGAATCCTTCTACCCTTCGACCCTGGATGTAATCAAGGCGCAGCTGGTCAAGGTACCCCATTCTGGTCGGATGAAACCGCAGATGTTTTTTTTAAATGAAAGTTGACGTGTTTCCTGGCATGTTACCCTCTGGTTATGACTAACATAGCCATGGAAAATCCCAACCATAAATGGAGGTTTATAGCTGGGAAAATCATCTATTTCTATGGGCCATGGCTTCCATGGCTATGTTAGATAACCAGAGGGTAAATCCTGCTATGTCTGAAAATAGGCAGTTCCCCAGTTCCAATGGATTTTCCAGCCACGTTTGTGACGCCGGAGGGTAACCCACTGATTGATCCAATAGCCATTATTGTTACATAACATGATGTAACTATTGTTAACCATGATTCAGATTGATTCAGCATTATAATTAGTATGGATTAGCATCATCCTCCCAAAAAGGAATCTATATATTTCTGACGAGAGGTCTTTTGATGACCTTCAATGGATCGGTTTAAGTGAAAATCACGGAACATCTACAGGGAAACGGTGGTTTTGTCACCATCACTTGTAGGGGTTTCCTATAGATTTTCCCTTCAACAAATCCATTGAGACCCTCATGATTTCGTCAGGTCAGGGCCGAGAGAAGCCAGTGAAGCCAGTCAGAGTCCTTCACAGGTGGGAGATGAATTGGTTCATCCCGGGAGATAGTGGAAGATATCTTGAACTAATGGATTGTAATCATAGGTAGTTCGGGTTTCCGACTGTTCTATTATGTTCTAGGTATTTGGGGGTTGCTATATCTATATATATATATGTATGTACCGTATGTTAATACTTGGACTCATAATAGCCCCAAAAATGGTAAACGTACTAGTTCTTTATTGGGTACAACTACAACACCATTTTTATGCGTACAAACATGTACAAACAGGGGGTCTAGGTAGAACTAGTGGATAGCGATGATAGGAGTAGGATTAAAACGTGGGATGCTTGCTTCCACGTTGAAATCAACTGGGAAGGTGTCTTTTTTATATATATATATATTGTTGATTTAGATATTAAATGTGTTTGTTTTCCTTCCAACTTTAGCCACTAGATTTTATTACTCTAACCTGGGAACGTCCCTGCAACAGAATAGGCTAGGAGCTTCACCTGCAGCTGATCACGTTTTTTGGGCCTCTCATTTCCCCGGTTGTTGGGTGCTTCTCATATATGTTGCTTTCCGTTCTTGGCATCATGATGCCAATCAACGTTTCAATTCACCAATAGTCTTTTGATGGGACAGAGCACCAACCAGATCAAGATATATATATATGTGTTTTTTTCCGGTTTCACTCATACCTATTTCGAAAGCGACATTAAAGCGCAGAAACAGGTGGAACAAGTTTGGACAATGTCACGACTTTTTGTTTGACACCTTAAAAGTTATGTTTCCACGTTAAAGTTTGACGTTCCCAACAATGGTTTTAAGGATTGCATTCTCGTCACTGGGCCTCGCAGGCTGAGGCAGACTTTGAATTGCAGGAGGACTTGGGCTCTGTGAAACCAACACACTTCCTGCAAGACGCAATTGGGGGTTCCCCCATCCATATCTGTGAGAAAGTCATGGACATTCAATGAAATTCATATCTGCTATCCACTGGCATAGCCTGAACATCCTTGAACCCTTCCCCCACAGTCGACAATCAATGACCAAACCCTGTGGGCTGTCGTGGTTGAGAATTCAACACGTGGAGAGAACTGATTTCGACCTTTTTAACTAGAAGATCATCCAGTTGATTTGGGATACTCATTTTCTGGGAGATCATTCTCTTTGCTGGTTGACATTACGGTATTTGCGGTTTATGGACATGCTCATCGCAAAATTATCACGGCTGGTGGTTCAGGTGTTTTTTTTTTCAGGGCACACTGCCACGGTTTGTTGGTTCCAATGGTTGTCAGCACAATCCCACTAGACGTTCATCAGCAAACTCCTTCCTTGTCTGGAGGTTGAATTATGTAGCTGTTTTTTGTGTTTTTCCCCATCGTTTGCTGGCTTAAAATCCTCATACATGTATTGAATACATTGTTCCCAAAACTTGCTGGCTTAAACTCCTCAGAATACCAACGTAGTCTTTCAAATTCTCTATTGGTCATATTGGTCCCCAACTTAGGCTATCATTAATCAGCCCATTCAATCCAATAAAATCCACCTTATTTTTCTTGGTGAAATCATCATGGAAACCCATGGTTTCCCAATGGAAATGCCATGAAATATCACCTTAAAATCACAATAAATCACCATTAAATCACCATTAAATCCCATTAAGTCACCATGTTCTTATGGTTTTCCTATGGTTTTTCTATGGTTTTCCTCTGGTTTTCCTATCGTCTCAGTGAAGTCATCAGGAGATTCTCCACTCGGTGGAGCATGACGAGCAGCTCACCGCCGCGTTGGAGCCCGACTCCAGCAGCGATGGAGGCGTCAAAATCGGAGCTTTCAATGGGAACAACATGGGAACATCGTGGGAATCTATCTATTTGTCTGTTTGTCTATCTATCTATATAATTCTATACATGTAGGGAAACATGCAGGTAACATCATGGGAACATCATGATAACACGATGTGGAAAACTCATCGAAACTCCCTAGGGAAATGATCTACAAAATCATGGTGGGTTTCATCCATGGCAAGTTGGAAAATCCAAGAAAGGCATGAAGGTTTAGAGCTGGGAAATTCATAGAACTAAAATTGGCTAAATTTTGTGAATTGTGAAATTTTGCGATGTTTGATTACAACTCTACTTCCAGTCAGTAGATTGGTTTGACAAATTGAGTTGGTTAGATCACCATTCGCAACCGATCTCAGCTTCATTGAGTTTCAGCAGGAGTGCAACATTTTGTTGCTTCTGGGAGCAACAGCACATGTTTTGGGTACAACCAAACAGATGCAATGTCTCTTCATAGACTTAGTTCGAAGAGTCATACCAGGGGAAGTTGGGCACGTGATTTGAATTTTGCAAAGATATATTTGGACTTCTTTGTAATTTTTCAAACTCTGAATTTCCGCCTGTCTTGTGCCTGGGGTGTTCATCCTGTTTCTCCCTGTGCTTGTTGGGTTTATCGTTTATAACTATTTCTAACCCCATCTAGCAGATGCATCAGATGCAGAAAACCCATTTTTTCCATCACCTTTCCAGGTCGCCATATTTTCGCCCAGATCCCCATCATGAACATCATTCGAACATCATTCGAACATCCCATGCGAATCATTAACCATCACCCATGACGGATCCATGGTGCTGGTATATATGGTAGCTTTTACCATCAATATACCCCAAATGTTGGCATATATAGCAGCACCATGGATCCTATGGGTCATAACACAAGTCATAGCAATTCGTCTCCCCACGTTTTTTTAATGATTGGGAATATGGATGCAACCATAGATACTTCTGGCTCCATCCTTGAAAATATGCTGATAGTGAACCCCGCAGATGTAAGTTGGTGTATAACACCATTAGTTCCGTCTATCTACAGTAAACCATAGTCAAATTATTAGTTATTATGTCATGCTATGTTCACCAACTTGATCCAACTTGGTTATCTATAGTTATCTATAGTTATATGAGTTGTCATTGGAAATAGATTGATTTACCGTAAACCCAATCCATGGTGCCTAGGTGGTTCAACCAATGGGCAAAATCGATCGAATTGTTCAACTGGGTGTCAAAACCCATATGGTGAGAAGTATTTAGAAACTTTTGCAAATCAACAATGCTCAAGAAGGGTGATTAACCAACTTAAAACAAATCATTACACAATCTGAATTTCAGTCCACCGCTGATTGTCCAAAAGTCTTTAATATAATCAAATATCCAATTGGAGACTTGGCCATGTCATGATTCCTGGTGGAACAAGATTTCATCCGAGTCCATCCATTAAACAATCCAACTACCCTTTGGTGTTTCGCGACTTTCGGTCCCTTTGGAATCCATTGGTCAACCAGAATCGAGATAGAGATCAGTAGATTTCACGAAGAGACTAATAGGGATTTAACATACGATGAATCACCGACAAAAATTACGGAGCTTTACCTAGCAACAATGAGAGTTTTCACCAGTCCCCGTGCCAGGTGTGCCGGCGCCGGCTGAGGTGGCAGAGGACGTCTAAGTTTTAGTGGGGATGATAGATTTCTAGGTCAACCATAGGAACAAAAAATCGGAAAATGCTGGTTTAACTAAGAACAAAGGGTGAATTCGTGGGATTGAATGGGCTGATTTATGATAGCTAAGTTGGTTTATAGCTATAATGACTACAATAGTTTACGGATGTTTACGGTAGATATATCTCTGGTCAATGGGATTTTTTTAACCAACAAACATTGTTAACATAACTGGGGGAGCACCACATTCTAGGTCAACCGACTGCAACTGGATGGGTAATGAGGTAGTGATCCTTTAATCTTTTACTATAGGACTATCTACTATTTACTCACCAGCTATTGTTTCTGCAGGATATCTAAGATTGGCAAGGCTATGATGATATTTTTTATGCACCACGGTCGCATGGATGATCGGATACCGGGATGATCGCCCCTCCCAGATCATACCATCCTGAAAACCAACACGGAACCAACAAAATAGGTGTTGATGATTTCGCAAATTGCTCGACCATGAAAACTATTATTTGTATGGCTGTGTTTGAACATGTAGGAACAAATCAAACAAATTTGATGGTTCATCCTTGCTTTCCCTCTGAAAATGAACATGTGATAACTTGAAATATAGCCTTCATCTTGGACAAACCCGACTGCATCTTTCAATGGTCGAGTCAAGTACGGTTAAATCATGTTAAATCATGTTAAATCCCCATATCTCATGGCTTAAATCATGTTAAATCCACGATTTCCATCTATGTTCATCGTATGTTTTCCAGCACTAATCCCCGACTGCAAGTCTCATCTGGTGTCTCTGGATCTTCAGGATATGATTTCTGTAGTGGACATCGGAGATGAGTTGCTACCCAGCCAGGTCAGCTGCCAGAATTGGTGGAAAATTGCTGGTATACCCCGACCTGGGAAGGATATTGAATCTGATTGTGGTTGTGGATGATTGATCCATTTTGATGGATATTGAATCTGATTGTGGTTGTGGATGATTGATCCATTTTGATGTACCCGACTGAAGGTGTTTCTATGTGTTTCTTTTGGGGGATGGTTTGAATGATTGTGCACATGAAATGGTGGATGTGCAGCTTTGGCGTAAACATATGGTACGAATGGGATATCACACATGTTGTCATTTGATGTCATTCGCACCGTTGAATCTTCAGGGAAATTACTTGGACACATTCCGGCACAACCAACAATGGTGTATATGCAATTTTCTTCAATTACATTTGGCCCTGGTTTGAACAAAATTAATGATCATTTTTGTCAGTTTGATTGGCCTATATGTATATATATATATGCATTGGGAAGCCTCATTCTTCACGAAGGTTGGCAACAGTGTTCTAACAAGCGCTGTTCCGCCTCTCGAGGATGATCATAAAGGTTTTTTCTGTGTACGGCGTAGAACACGGCCTTGTATGCTACGGGGATATCTGCACAGGTTCCCCCTAGACTTGCCCTCTGGTAAACATACCTATGCAAAATTACCATTTTCAGTAGGTAAATCAACTACAAATTGGCCATTTGACAGTAGCAAACTCTTAAATTACCAGAGGGTAGCCCCGTGTAGCCCCCATTTTCTCATCATTTGCTGAATTTTCTGTTGCTCTTTGAGGCCGATGCGGAGTCCTTCCACGCGTTTCCATGTTTCTGGGCGCAGTTGAAACGGGGCACGCCCAGGGGGTATAGGTTATCCCTTGTTATCTCTTGCCTAACAAAGAGACTTCTACAATCAAACCCTGATTGAAGGGGTGTAGATCATTAGCACCCCATAAATGAATAGATCATTAGTACATCCATAGATCTAACAATTGATTTAGTCTTCGAATCTATTGGATGTACTAATGATCTATTTATTTTTGGGGGACCCATAGGGCTATAGGGTGTAAATTATTGGGATACGTTTTTTTCACCAACAGAAACTGGGGATGCATCCTCGGACTCTGAGTTAGGTCCAAGAGCGGCTTGAATCAGATGCCAAAGATGTATGCTACTATATATATATATATATGGTAATTGCATATGACACCCCCACCCTCTTAACCATGGTTTTCCGGGGGGGACCCCTATATGTAACTTACATTTTCTGGAGTGAAAATTATGTGTGTGTATATATATATACATATGGTAACTACATATGACATGGTATTCTGCAGCTGGTAGGTTGGTGAAGTTTGCGGTTGTACATGGTGGGTCTCTTGGTAGCTGCGGTAGGGTTAGTCCAAAAAATTGACAGAACAGCCGTGAGAAACCAATACAAAGCCAGAATGGAACCAGCAAACCGCGTTTGTACTTGAACAGACATTTCTGTGGACATCGCTCACAGAATTGGAGGTCAACCCAGGGAAGTCCAGCTGGAGTTTCATAGTTTTCTGTTGCTATGTTTATCTTCTGGACAGTATTATATTATATTACAACATAATATGAATATGATTGATTATATATAGATATATATATATCATAATATAATATATAATAATATATAAAATAATTATATAATATGTACAATAGATTATTTAATAATATATATAATAATATATATAATAATATATATAAACACATATATATATATATATACACATAATTGTAAATAATAAATATAACAATATATATATATATGATAATCCATTATATATATATATATACAGAATGTGTATTATGATATACTTACACATATCCCCATTCTACAGCTATAGGATGGCTTATCTTCTGCTAGCATCGGGCAAGGGCCTAAAATCCAGTCGCTTGGACCGCTTGGGCCGCTTGGATCAGCTTGTTTTAGATGGACCATGGACATTGCAAGGTCCCAATATGGACATTCCATGGGGTATAGCTCCAATGATAGCCATTTAATAGGTCAAATGATGATTAACCATTGGGTTTAGGTACCCTATTTGGCAGTGTGTCAAAACCCATGGAAACCCCTTTTTTGTTCACATCAAAATAGCTGGGTTAAAATGGATGTGAATAACCCCCTAAAAATGGTATGAAAATAGGTATTGATCCATCCCAATATGTGATTCAGCTTCAATTCATCAACCCCCACTTGACTCAAATTTCTCATATGTTCTATTTGCTCCGTCGCATTTGGGATGAGTTTTCCCCTTTGGACTTTACCCAAGTGACGGTATAGATATACATGTCTGTCTATATGTATACATTTGCAACACCTCCTAGCCATCAACTATACAATGTTACATATAGTTATCCACCCAAAATATCAAACAAAACAACTGTTACCACTGTTCTAGTGGCTTTTGACTTTTCTATCTTATTTTGGGTTTGCAAATGGTTGCTATATAAACACATAATGCCTCACACAGATCCACATCGGATACCCACTGCCATCCTGCACTGAGATATGATGAGTCCCAGGCGCGTCGGGCGTGCAGAGGGTAATCTATGGAACATCGCCATTTATGGAACATCGCCATTTATGGAACATCGCCATTTTGAAGTTCGGTAAATCATCAAATTCGCCATGGCTTCCATAGCAGATACACCGCTGGAATCCAAGTGACCCCTATGTATTTTGATTATACTTAAGATCGGTGTCCCATCTTACCCAGATCATTGGGGGCAATCACGCGAGCAGGACAGATATGCCCAGGAATATACAGGAATACAATAGTAGTAGTTTATTTCCATGTGCACATAGGTGCACAATATCATACAATATCTATATTAATCTATCCATGTACATGTTTGAGACATTTTTTGGGCTATCGATATCCAACTGCTGATGCTTGGGCGCCAATGAACCTTATCTGGTTGGTGGGGAATCATCCTCCCAACTGACGAACTCACGAACCATCATTTTTCAGAGGGGTAGGGCGAAAAACCACCAACCAGATTATTATTAACCATCATTAACCATATAATAACCATTAATATTAGCCATGATTAACAGTATATGAACCATATATTAGCTTGGGCGCCTATGAACCAGGAAGTTTTTTTGAACCCAAAAAAAGGCATGGGCGACTCGTGTGACTCCGGGGGATCCCCAATAGCTGGTTTATTTCATGGAAAATCCCATCTAGAAATGGATGATTTAGGGGTAGCCCCATTTCAGGAAAGCTCCATCTGCATCAGCAAATCTATAGGCAAAACATAGGACATCAGCAATTTTTTTTGGGAAAAACCCAGCATTGCGTGAGAAACTATGAGAAACTTGAAACCAACCCAAAAACCTGTGGATGTGATCTGTTCTTCCCACAATGGGACAATAGAAACAGTACCCCCCTGCTTTTTTTTTGGGTGGGAAAAACCACCATTTTCTGAACATCTTTCCATACACCAATCTGGACTCATCTTTGGTGATTGATTTCCCCCATGTTTTGGTGGGTAAATCCCACTGAACCACTATTTTTAGTCCTAGTTACTCTCTGGTAAACTAACATAACTATGGAAAGATCCACCATTTTTCATGGGAAAATCCACCATTTCGACTGGGCCATTTGAAAAATAGCGAACTGTTAGTCATTACCAGAGGGTAGTCCTAGTGAGCCAATCTCGGCATCGGATAGGCCGCTGGAAAGCACTGTGGCGTCCCTGCTGCGAAGGACCGAAGGGGTGAGAGATCTGGAGCTGGATGAGATTTCCATGGAGGTTTCCAACAAGTCATAGGGCTACCCCCAACTCATCCATTTATAGATTAGGATTTTCCCAAAAAAAATTCTATAGATTAGGATTTTCCCTAAAAAAACGATAGATTTGGGGTACCCCCATTCCAGGAAACCCCTCATATATCATATATACATATAATTATACACACATAGATGTACACGTTTGTGATTAAATTGTATGAAGTAAACTAAGAACTAAACTCATCCTTTACATTATGTGTTTGTGATTTCAGCTGAATTGTGTACAACATTTGGTGTTTGCTGTGTGCCTTGGGCAGCAAAGAAACGCCGTAAACATGGACGCCTTCGCTGGCTGCGGGGTCTTCAGATGAATGGTATTGGAGATGGAATTATGTGGAATTTCTGACTTACAAAAGAGCCATGGTCTCCAATAGAATACAGAAATTCCATTATATGTATCTCCAAGTATGGTATACAGAAAAGTGGTCTATTTCTGACTTACATATACTATGGTTATATATATATAAGTGTATCTATGTAACAGTATGCAGAAAAGAGCCGTAGATATACTCTGATGGATGCTGGCGGAACGTGCTGCATGGAGTTTTTTGATACTCAGTTATCCAGCAAGAGTTCCCTGGGTACATTTCATTAGACTCAAGCCATAGAATTACAGGATATTATATATGTATACAGTATAATCATAATATACAAGACAATATAAATAATTATTGGATAATATATGTGTATATTATCCAAGTACTATTGATATACATATTGAGACATGTGTTAATGATGTAAACGTTATCCGTCCCTTGCCGTACGACAGCAAGGCTGTCCTTGGAACATCAAGTCGACGAGTCCGTGGCCAGTCGCGATGCCAGTCGCGATGCTGTCCCGGGGGTCTGAAAATGGGGGATTTGAATGGATTTGATCACCAGTTGTCTGGTGTAGTGAAAATTGGGTCCAATTGATAAGCTAGATAACTGGTGTACTACTAGTATCACATCCAAAGGATTTGCCTGGGGGATGTGTAGTTTAATCCTTTAGTAACTTTAGTCTTTTGGTAATGGGATTTTCGAGGTTCACCAGCCAGACTTGGTCATTTTTGTGTACAGTATCTGGCTGATTGGCAATGTTATGACATGGGATTTGGACGGATTTGGACGGATTTGGATGGAAAAATGGGCCTCATGTCTATGTTTCCAAAGACGTGGTACCTACAGGAAGAACAAGAATTCTTTGTGGATATAGACTTTCATCAAGCCACATGAGCCACGTTCTAAACCTTTGTGTTCATGTTAAGCAAGGGGCCCCTTGTAAGGGTGTGACGTAAGCAAAACTGTGGTGTGCGTAAGCCAGCGTAAGCTCCGCGTAAGACAATGTATGCGCCTAAGCAAAACCTGTGCGCGCGTAAGCAAGACGTAAGCAATGGCGTAAGCATTTCCTTATTTGGTGCCAGGATATAAGACATTTAGAACAAGGCTCACATGTTAGCATAAATGGTAAATCCTCATTCAACACCATTTTCAATGGGTAAATCCTCATTCAACACCATTTTCAATGGGTAAATCCTCATTCAACACCATTTTCAATGGGTAAATCCTATTGAATCCACATTTTTCATATCTTGGTCCTGGCTGCTCAGGTAGCATTCGGGGAGTTCTGGAGGTTTCAGAGCTACTCGTCCGAGCGCTCAGATCGTTGTGTTCGCGTGGGGTGATGAGGTGTTTAGCTGGATGTGGGTCAAAATGGAAGACCTAGGGGACCACAGATGTTAGTCTAGTTTAGTATTAACCATCCAATTATTGGGGTACCTAATTTTGACCCATACCCAGCTATACAAGTTGGTTTATGACCAATTTAATTTAACCAATATAACTATCGTTTATGGTAGATAGTTGATGGGATTAACCAACAAACATAACTGGGGACCCCACTTTTTCCATGTTTGCTGTACATAACACGGTGTGATCAAACGTGGAGAATCCCACCAGGTTTATCTCTAGATGGATTTTGCAGCTGCCAGGTGACCAGTTACCGGAGAGTACGTGGGGAGGAGATCAGCATCCCAAAAATGGAGATTTTACCATCGGCTGGTTTTTGAACCATCATATGGATGCTTTATTATGTCTTTACTATATAATATGAAATTGGTGTTTTCAATAGTGTTGAATATAGTTCGATAGAATGCCAAAATCATCTATGAATCAGGGTATGATTGGAGAATATGGGGATAAATCATGATACATGCAACAATCCCATCCCAGAAATCATATTAAACACCCAGAAATCCATGGTAAAGAACAAAGGATTGGAACATGACTGGGACCGCAGAACGGGGGTGTTTAATTATTTATGTTTAATAATATCAATGGGGGATGGGATATAAATATATATATAATATATATATATATACAAGCTATACTACAGTATTACGTAATACCCACCTAAACATAACTAACATAGCCTTTAATTTGAAGGAAACTATCTAATATAAAGTTATATACGGACATATAGCAGAGGATATATATATATATACACGTACGTGTGTAAATATATATATATACATATAACTATGCATATATATATATATATTATTATACAAATATGTATACCGTTCTACCATTCACTGCCACAAATGTAGGCAAACATACGATAGATTGATGGTATGAGAAATTTGTTGATGCCGAAATTTGATGACCTAAAAAAATGAGGCTAACCATCTAACATGAGTTAAATAGGAGTCCCAAAAACAGGGGTTTCACATGATAAATAGGAGTCCCAAAAACAGGGGTTTCACATGATAAATTACCGTCGAGCAGGCTGTTTTACCAAATCCTTTCCTGCAACTCCATAATTTCAAAGTGTTTGCAGCCATTGATTGAACCTCAATCGGCCGCAGATTCGGGCCCCAGATTTGAACTGCAATTTTTGGCTGGCTTAAACTGGCAAAGTTGAAAAAGTGTTGCTGCAACTTCCTGAACTGCAGTTTTGCTATTCATTTAAAACATCTCTCAGATGCTTTTCCATTTTCTTCCATTTGTTTGTTCCAATTTGTTCTGGCAATCCCGATGAGTTCGAGCTAAGTTTTTTTCATGCCTGAAAGTGTTATTTCCAGGTGTCCCACTTTTTGGTCCTTTTTTTTGGATTGCTCATATGTATATATATATATACTGTGTACAATATATATATATACATTAAATGGGTCATATACTAAAGGTTATTAAGTTTTATACCTTTAATAATATTCCCATTATATACCCTTTATCTCTCTCTCTATATATATAGTATAAATGTCTATCCTATTGTTCTTCGTAAAATCCTTGATGAATCCATTGAAAATCCCATTTCCTCCATATCTGCGGGTATCTGCAAGTTGCAGCAACAGTGGATATGCTGATTAGCTTAGAACGTGAAGTTGGTTTGGTTCAAGGGCTTGACACAAATAGCTGGTCTTAGGTGAAATCTATGTTGGTTCTGTTGCAACGGCGTGATCGCTCCAGAGAACGAAGCATGGGAAGTGATCCCAAACTCGGCCAAGAGTCCGACCAGACGGTGCTGTGGTCCAGTCCGCCTGATGCAGTCTCAGTTGCAGGCCCAGTTCCGACTGTCTGAGAACACAAGAAGCTTGCAAAGGAGGAGGCCATGCCGGCCGAAATCATGAATCCCCTCATTCCATCTACTTTATGATGCTGATTATACATATATAATCATATATATATATATAAATATAGAATATATATATATCATATCCCATTATATACAGTAAATGAGTTATATCTTATTTAAGTTATATCATATACATTAGATTAGATTATATGTCCATTCTACAGTGTACCAAGTATATCCCAATATACACATGTATATATATATATACATCATTCCCAGTATGATATGTATGTATATATATATATTATCAGTATACAGTATACCGTATACCCACTATGTCTCCCCATTTTAAAGTTATCTCTATATAACATATGGATACACATTGATTATGATATTCCTCTTTATTCCCATTGATTTATTCAGTACACACCATATTTATTGAATCATCATTTATGGGATTTATTATTGAATATACCAGTATACATACTAATATACATTATATTCATCCCATGGGATAGTGAATGTGGGCTATTTATCTTTATTCCCATTTATTCCCTATATATCCCAGCATTATTGGGTATATTGCTATTTATTCCCATTCCTATGTATCCCATATATATGCACCAGGCCCTGCCACCCCCCCCCCCCCCCCCCATATGGGATGGGTCCCATATACTGGTCCCATATGAGATCTTCCCCCTCCCCCCCTGTGGTGTGGTGGGGGTGTGGCACTGTCCCCCTCCCCCCCCTGTGGTGTGGTGGATGGGTCCCATATACTGGTCCCATATGAGATCTTCCCCCTCCCCCCCTGTGGTGTGGTGGGGGTGTGGCACTGTCCCCCTTCCCCCCCCTGTGGTGTGGTGGATGGGTCCCATATACTGGTCCCATATGAGATCTTCCCCCTCCCCCCACCTGTGGTGTGGTGGGGGTGTGGCACTGTCCCCCTCCCCCCCCTGTGGTGTGGTGGGGGTGTGGTATGGTATGGTGGGTATGTATGGTGTGTATGGTCGGTCTGGTATGGCATGTTTGGAAAGTATGGTATGTTTGGTATGTATGGTAGGTATGGTATGTATGGCATGAGTGGTTGGTATTGTATGGATGGTAGGTATGGTATGTAAGTCTGTTGGATATGGTATGTTTGATATGACAGTATGTATGGTCTGTATGGTATGTATGGTTACTATGATGGGTATGGAATATGTCCTATCTAAGGTAGGTATGGTATGTATGGCATGTATGCTTGCTATTGTATGTATGCTATTGTATGTATGGTAGGTGTGGTAATTACATTTCATATGTATGGTATGTATGGTATGTATGATAGATATGATAGGTATGGTATGCATGGCATCATTGACATGTATGGTAGGTACGGTATATGTTCAACAGAGGTAGTGTTGTCAGAGTACACAGGTAGTAAACAGGAAGTAGATACAGTAGATACATAGCACATGTATGTATGACTATAGGTAGCACGTAGGTACTTTGAAGGAGTATGTGTGCTACGTAGGTCGCCTAAAAGGTAGCATGTACCTAGTAAATGCGAGGCTGGTAGTCAGAAATGCTGCAAAGACCTAGCAAATACGACGCTGGACCTCAGAAATGCTGCCAATAGCTTGCAAATAGAAGGGAATTGGGGCTACTACCTGGGGACCCAACCCATGGGGGGGGGGGTGGAGAGACGGAGGACGGGACCATATATATATATACATGCCACGGAAAAACAATAATAATAATAAACAGAATATACTAATCAATGGAATATACCAATCAATGGGAATAAATGTATTCAGATATTCCCATGGGTCATTTCCAATAAGAATCTCATAATATAAATATCAATCTTTATCCTAATATAATACAAATTCCTAATATAAATGTGGCAGTTTTTATCCCATAAATAACAATATATTTAGATCTAATTTTTGTTTTATCACATATTTTTATCCCATAAATAACAATCATAGACATTATATTATAAATTCTTACCCTCTGGTAAATTAACATAGACCCTGCCAGATAGGGGTTGGAAGATTAGTTTCCTTGGGAATTTTCAGGGTCTATGTTTATTTACCAGAGGGTAATCTAAATTTATAACCAATATAGTATTAATGATTGCCACATGATGTTTATGATCCACCAGGCGGCTGAGATGGCTGCGAGCCATTTAACCCAGGAGGAGATCGAGGCTTTACCGTCGGCGGGGACGCCGACACGGGACACGGGTTTCCAGGGGATGCGAGATGGAGAAAATCCAAGAAACATGATGATTTAATGGGATTTAATAGGGATTTAACGGGATTTAATAGGATTTGATGGGATTTAATTGGACATACAGTGAACTTGGTATGTTGCTGGGGTTATTTTTTTAGAAAGAACCATGGTTTACTTCCAGAAGTTGGGATACAACTCCTGTAAGAATTCTGTATCCAATTGTAATTGGAAGTACGCACCCAAGAAGAGTTTGTGCTATTCATCTGGATCATTCTGGATCCAAGTTGCTTTGTATTTTTGGTAATGACCTGAAATGAAAAGACCCTAAGGATTTAAATCCCAGGATTGGAGTTTGACATGGACCAAGTTAAGGTGATTGATTCGGATCACTGATGTAAACAATTTCAAACTAGTTGTGATAATCGATTGTGTTAGCATTCAGAATCTTATTGTTTTGATGGTACAACAGTCTGTGTTGATAGTATTTTAATGTACTACCGAACATATATATATATATATATTATATACATTATATTCTACTTAGCATTAATTTTGAACAAGAGGAACAAATCATATGATCCCCAGCTATGTTTGTTGATTTACAGACATTAATATAAATAAATATATCGTTCGCCAAGTGCCCTTGGAACTGTGCCGCCCGGGCGACTGAGTTTCCCTACGCACCCTGCAAAGAGCAGCAGCACTGCGCCATTTGTTTGGACGCCTTCGAGGAGGGATGGGACATGTCCCGTTGTGGATTTGATGGGGGATCCAAAGACCTATCATGAATGGGATATCCTCTGGTAATTTAACATAGCTATTGAAAATGGCCATTTATAGTGGATTTACCCATTAAAAATGGTGATTTTCAACAGCTACGTTAGTTTACCAGAGGGTATGTGATATGTGTATAACTATATACCATTATACAACAACATCATGGGAAATTATGTGTAAATAGAGGTATCATACAACAAAATGCAGTATATCAATGTATACTAAGTCGTAACTATACCTATACCAACAAAAATAGAGGTAGATGTAGATGTCCTTAGTCCCGTTGGCTTTAGTTATGTTAGTTCCAATAATTATAATAATAATAAAGTGGGAGAAAAAGTGGGAGAACATCAGATGTTGGACTGAATGAACACAATGCTTTTAACGAAGATGACTATTTGGATCATGTTGTTCAACCGTAAAGTGGGATATTAGCGTATTTGGGAGATATGGCCATATATAAACCCGACAAGTGGAGCATATCATATCACCATAAACGAATAAACACCATGCTGACAGCCCCTGAATGGTGAGTAAGAGTCTTATGGGTCTTGCCACACAAAAGCAGCTCTGATAAAATCTAGAGACCCTCACCTTGCAGTTGGGGAACGCTGAATACACTTTTATACCACTGGCTCGACTTAAACTGTCATGAACAAGCATGTGTCGCTATGCCTGAACACTGAACACTCAATAAGAATCTTGCGTGACAGCTAGAACAGGGAATCAAAAGTCTGCGTCGCGTTACCTCACCAGTATTGAAACATATTTTCTGACGGCACCTGGGCAAAGATGCAACAGCTTATGTCGCAAAACATCAGCAATGATGAGAAATGTGTGCGTGTGTGTGCAACAGCATCTGAACAAGGATGAATAAGCTCGTTAGACATCTTGAAGACAGTTGCAAACATTTGTGCGAACAGTGACCAAACATATTGTTTGACAACGCCCTAGATTGATCAGGTTGAATGCGGACCCTGGTGCATGGACCTCAAGGATCTGACATGTGGCACAGCTGCTCGTTGTGCAGGCACCTCTCCCGAGGGAACGTGCAGTTGATGACAGCGATCTACTTCTCACACAGAGAAATAGCAACGCAACATCATGCACGATTTACACCATCGCAACTGGCTTTGACGGAGGCCACTGACTTGGCTGAAATTCCATTATCAGTACGTCACCGTGATATCACTGGAATGTATGGATGGCGCCTCCTTCTGGACGCACCACATCAACCCCTGGACATCTTGAATGGAGCCTCTATGCATCACTGTGCATCCTCCTGAGGAAAACCCACCCAGAGGAAGCACTGATGAAGCTGACACATCATTTGGTCGAGATCGAAGCAGAACTCCGAGACGCTCTTTTGACGATGATGATGAACATGCTCTTTTGGCACATCAAGGTAGTCCAAGACCATTTCAACCTTGGAACATTTTGGCTACGTTGCAGCATTTTGCTATGTCCTAGATGTGAGGTGTTTTCTCGTGATGCCCCAATGACCCTGGTTGATTGACCGTGTATTCGCAAGTATTCTTGCCACTGCAGAATAAGGAGAAACCTATAGAAAATCCATTTGAGAATATTTTAGACATTTAAAATTGCTTTGTTTGCCAAGGCCTTTTTTTTTGTGCATGCCGCGCTAAAGCGACCAATGACGGGTTGGTGGCCGATTTTCAGAGTAACCACTACTTCTGTCATCAATAGATCTGGGTAAATTTCATCACGACCGAACCCTGTTCTCCCTCACTATATCATCATGGTTAGATTGCGGGGAAACATTTGTTCAAGATAGCCGAACTTTTTTTAGGTTAGTGAATTAGAATTCACCCGGATAAATGTTTTTTTTTTGGGGGTCCTATATGCTGAAAGGAAAGGGAAGTGGTGACGATGCTGCGCTGCCATCATTTCTTCCACATGGAGTCCGGGGACTCGATGTGAAAAATCATCGGTGACCGAGTGGGCATGGTTGAAACCATAGGAAAAATGATGGTGATTTAATTACCCATAGGATCCATGTATGCTATATATGGTAACATTTACCATCAATATACCCCAAATGTTAGCATATATACCATACATGGATCCTTTGGGTTATATGATTTATAGCTGATTTATGATAACTAAGTTGGGGGCCACTAATCACTCTAATTTCACTATGGTTTATGATTCACACATAACTATGGTATTCATGGGGTTTAAAAAGCAACAAACATAGGGGGGCCACATTGTATAGATGATGTGTTTACATGTGTTTACCATAGTTTCATTTTTTTCCAGTTTTTCTATCTGTTTGGGGTTGCCACAAATACCGTTGCTTTCTGTTTGAATCGGATCGCAGTAAGTGGTAGGACAAGTCGCAGCAAAGTACCTCACAGCACAAGAAGAATATATAGATGTGACCAATCCTGAAGTGTGCTGCAGCACCTGAAAGGCATGGTCTCCCTTCCCGATCAATATAAACCAATGATTATAGTAGTCCTCGAAGGAGAGAAAGTAAGATCCACTATATAGACTATATGAGATGGTGATAAATTATGAACAACACCTTTACTGTATTTTTGGAGTACACTAACAGTACTAGTTTGGGGGCCCTGTGGTCCGAGTTCCCTCCTGCTTTTGGGGAAAGCACCAGTGAACCAATAGTTCTGTATGGGTGAAACGAAAATGGGCACCCCCAAGAACGAGGTGGTTCATACTGCCAATTGCCAAGATCTGCAGTCCCATCGGCCTTAACTATCCTCCCAACTACGAAAGGGTCTGAAGCCTTGTGCTTAGGGCTCAATTTGTTTAGGGTCTAAACTGCTTTTTCTATCAGATTAGACCCTGGCCAGCTACCACCTCAGACCCTCAACATGTACATGCTGGAAAGTGAGAACTTCACTTTAGACCTTTTGCCTAACTCGTAGAGAACTTCATCTTAGACCCTTTGCTGGTTTTTGATCAACTTTGATGAGACGAACTTTGATGAGATGAACCACCACCCCTGAAGGGATCTAACTTGGGTACTCCTGGGAAAGTAGCTCACCACCCGGAAAGTGAACCACCACCCCTCAACCACCACTTACCTCTGCAAACTGAAATCTGACATGACATGTCTGCGTTCCAACAAAAAGGCCAAATGACACTAGCATATATCATCTGTGAAAAAACCTTTACGTAAGTCAAATTATGATAATCGGACTGATTGTAAAAAAAATGTCTTTAGAAATTGTACATTGTACATGTGCTTCATGATTGTTTCAATGGCTGAGCTTGTCATGGTCCTCCTGGCCAACCCTGGGGGTCTAAGGTGAAATTGCCTATCTTTGGATTTGAATTTCCCAGGGGAAAAACACACAGCAAACCACAATAGACCCTGGATACAAAGGACATGATTAGCAACTGTTGAGTTAAGCAATAGAACATGTATATACATCTAACATTATTGTTTCAATGGCAACGACCCATAAACTTCATCACCAAAACAAACTTCTGTTCCGCTGAGCTTGTCATGGTCTTCCTGGCCAACCCTGGGGGTCTAAGGTGAAATTGCCTATCTTTGGATTTGAATTTCCCAGGGGAAAAACACACAGCAAACCACAATAGACCCTGGATATTCATGTGAGACCCCTCGGCTACTCAGAAGCAGGGCTACTCATAGAGCCTTGTCCAAAAAGGAGCCTTAAGTCCTGAACATTTGAAATTATACCTAAACATTCCCCAAAATTCAAAATCATTCTGACTTGTTTGCAGGAGTAAGTGGAGTAAGTTCACGCAAGGGAAAGTAGCTCACCTGAAGCTATTTGACGAAAAAAACATAGAAGTTCACAGCGCTAAGATGTGCTAAGCACGTGAAGGAAGAAGAGAAACTTGTTGCCGTTGCTGTTGCCGGGGCTGTTGTTGCTGACAACCAGCACCCAAGGGTCTAATGTGAAGTTTCCCGTTTCCGGAAACATACAACATCAGCATGTTGATGATCTCTGCTGGATCCCTATGGTAGGTCTGAGATGGTTGGTGCAAAATAGGTCTATTTGCATAGGGAACTTTCAATTAGACCCGGGTAAAAAGGTCTAATCTGAAATTACCTATAGTCCCTAGCTAGTAGTTGAGGGGATCCTTAACTTAGATGTTCGCCCATCAATGGTATTCTATAGGTTCTGAAACTCTACTATGTGTATCCATCTTTCGGACATTCTTTCAATCATTATCTCAATCATTTGGGATGTGGGTGCAAAAATCTATGTTTCCCAGACATTGGTTGAACGAACATGTGCAGGAAACCACCTAGATTTTACGGCAGGAACCAGGTTTCCGCTGTATTTTGGTTCCCCTGAAATCGATCACGATTACCCCATATGACCCCAACATGATTCCCCTTCTACAGATTGCAGGTGTATTGCCATCACTACCATCTGGTTATGGAAAACTATAGCTCTGGGAAATGGCTCATTTATATAGATCCGTTTAATATCATTTAGTTGGATGATAAACATTATGATTTTCTTACAAAGCATTGTGATTGTCCCATTCGCAAAGAGCTAAATTACCAGGCGCCTGAACCCCTTATGGTGAACTCCCAACTTTCCAGGTGTCTCGCCAGCTGGATGTGTTCTCCTCAGGGCCACCATGAGCCAAGAATTTCCAGGGGAAAATGGAGGTGTCATGGGCAAAAAACATGTGGGAACATCATCCACAGATTGAGGTTTTCCTGGGGAAAAATGAGAAAAACATGGAACAACATCATATACATAGAGGTCTTGATTTTAAGGTCCAACAGTTTGCCACGGAATTTCCTACGGATGTATCATCGAACTAAATAGGTACCCAACTTTTAGTTGTTTCAAACCAGCGGAAAAAATGGAAAATCGTTTTGATAGCTGACGGTTGACTGGTTATTCATATAGTGGTTCTTGCTATTTGATCTATTTGGTTTATATATTGATGATAATTATAGCATATTATAGCTATCATCAATTTATGGGGTATCAACCAACAAGTACACTCGATGTGATGGGACCCCTGGGATAGGGGGTATATTTCATGGCTCCCATGATGATGAGTAAGGAGAATGAGTATCTGTCAACAAATCCAACATTATGATCTATTTCATTTCTACCAGCTATGGATGGTATGAGACATGTTTCTGTCAACAGACCCGGACACCTAGGCATCGAGCCACGAAATGCCCCCTGTGCCGAGCGTACTGCATCGAGTGAGCGTGGAAGCATCGAAGTCTGGCAAATTGTAAGGTAAATAGCCCTTCGACCTTTCCGATTTTAGCAAGAATGATGGTCATTGTGGTAAACCCAAGAAAAAACCCTCCAATTTTCTTCGAATTTACTGTCAGCCATTTCAGGTGAGCCATTGGGGATGCTTTATGGTTTAGCTGTTCGACATGGGGGAATCTTTGGCAAAGATCTACAAAATGAATGGCATGATTCTGCCAAAATCGTTACTTGCAAAGTGACAGCTGGGATCTCGGCTGGGAAACCATCGGCCCAAAATGTCCAGTTGTGAAGAGGTGTCGTATCCACAACTTGAGCAGCCAAAACTCCCAGTGATGGTTGTGGCCTGAGGAAGATACTCCCCTATTTTGATGGTTAAAACCCCCATTTGTGGTAAACTTGGGGATGGTTTACTATAGTAATGCTTTGCTAATATTATTTGCCACTGTTGACATTGAGTACTCTGATGTGTTTTTTTAGGGCTTGGGCGGTGGGTCTTGAGAACTCATCCAAGATGCACTGATAGATGTTGGTGATGTTGGATACATTCAGGCAATCAGAATGGCCCATGGCTCCCGTGTGTTGGAGCAGAGGTCAGAATCTGTCAAAATCATATATGTTTGCAGAAAGATGCCATAGAGCCCGAGCCAATCACTGTTTCAATGACCATCATCTGAGTCCGAGAAAAGTTGGTCCCTCAACTGGTTTCAATCCCAGCAGCTTTCACAACTGACATCCCAAGCTGTCGGAGGTTCTTTTTTCAACTAACCTCCTTGTGGTGCCCAGTTCTAAATATGTTGATGAGCCCATAGATCCGATATATAATCCGATCAACTATATACACATATATATATATATATTTGTTATCATGATTAAATTATCATATATTATCATGATGTTTTTTTGGTGTATCTACCATAGTCCAACTTTGCGATCTGGAGCACCTTGCGAATTTTTATTAGCGCGCGGCTGATCCTGTTTGGATCAGCACCTCCGCCCGCTCCAGGGCCGTGACCACAGACGGGGGGAGACGACTTGTCTCACGAGGCTTCTTGAGGTTCCACGGCAGTTCCAATGGAGAAAAGGTGATTTGTTCATGGTAAATTATGTGTATCTATATATATATAATAATAATAATAATATATATATATAATAATAATAATATATATATATATGATAATATATTATATACTCTATATACTCTATATATATATACTAGACTAGTATATTCTATATAGTTATATTATATTTATTAAAGTGGGAAACCCAATAGTGAATCTACCCGTTTCGGAATTGTTTATTGTTGGGTTGCCCACATTTCACAGCCGGATTTCATGGGATGAACGTCGTCGCAGCATCGTCGCGTCGCACTGGAGGGTGCAGTTTCCGTTTACCCCCAGTCGGTTGATTGGGCCTTGGGGGTTGGAGTTATACTACCCTGACATACCCTCTGGTTATGTCAAAATAGCTATTGAAAATGGTGATTTAGTTCGTGGATTTACCCATTGAACATGGTGTTTTTCCACAGTTATGTAAACGTGTACCAGAGGGTATCTGTTGTAAATGATCATACCGACCATACCCGTAATCAATCCTTGAGAATCGGACATCCTACTTCCACAAACGAAGTAGTGGTGATCCAATAGGTTATTGACACTGGGGCACCCAAAATTCCCAGACTTGGAAGGAACATTCAAACCGGGGCACCCTTCTGTTCGTGATGAAAAACCGGATGGTGTCTGATCAAAGTTCACTTCAACCAACCTTAATTGCTCATATCTAGGTCAACCCACTGGATGAGCAGTTGAATCCCTTATTTTTTGCTATTTTTTATATAGGAATTTCCTACCGTCCCAGCTAAGCCAAGCATTTGTCGATGGTTTTCGGGTATCATCCGACGTCGAAAAAAAAATCGGCCGAATCCAAAGATCGAGGAACCGAGGAACCTCGTGAGCCTTTTTGAGGTTTCACCAGAGGAAGCAACAGGTTATTTTCTGCCACCAAGATGGTGTCAGGCTTGGGGTTGGGGGTGTCACTTTAAGGTAACTGGGTGAAGAAGGTTGGGTCAGGCAAACTGGCTAGAAATACGTCATGACATCATTTGATGACATAATGTTGAGATTTATATCAACATAATACAACATGACATCATATGAAATATTGACATGTTCACACAGATACATTTAGTATGTCGTCCACCCAACAATCGGTTCTGAATGATTTTGTTTATATGCTTCGGGTGCTGGTGTCTCGTGTTGTGTGGAATTGTGGAGAGCTTCTCCATTGGTTTAATGCGGCCATGGGACAATATTGTTTGGGCGCAGAAAATCACTGGGAATATCATGGGGATATAGTATGATATCTGATTGGTGGTTTGGAACATGTTTATTTTCCATTTCATATATGGGATAATCATGGATAATCCTTCCCATTGACGAACTCCATCATTTTTCAAGATGCTTAAAACCACCAACCAGATATAGTGGGATATGAATGGAATATGAATGGAACATGAATGGGATCTGTATGGAATCTGAATGGAAACTTCTTTATCTGGATAGATTATAGTGACCTCACGTCACGTGACATCACTGGGATATTCTGGGCAAGAGTCGGGAAGTCGTGCCCAAATATCCGAACTATTCAGGTGAGTGAAATTACATATGATAATTTAGAATCTTAATCGTAATGCATTATGGTACACCGAAGTACCCATTCGTCAACTGCCGCAGTAGACCATACCCCGCCCCAGCGTGACAAAAACGTGAAGCCCAAGCAGCTCATCAGCTGTCACAGTCGGACCCAAGGTTCCAAAGCAGGCGCGAAGAAAATTTCAGCATGCCTTGAAGAGTGAACTAACCTTTGGATCCACTCGAGCCATTGGAAGTACTGGTTGGTGGTTTGGAACATTTTTCAGTTTTCCATTCAGTTGGGAATGTCATCCTCCCCACTGACGAACTCCATCATTTTTCAGAGGGGTAGGCTCAACCACCAACCAGAAGTACCATGTCTTAATCAACCGTAGCAATGGTAAATCCTTTACACATGGAGGTTTGAATGGACAAGCTGTGGGGAAAAGCATGGGGGATGTTCCAGTTTCATAGGGATAGCAATGTTCAATTAACCAATAAGCATCAATAAGCTGGGATACCCATGAATAGATGATTGGCACCAACATTTTTGCCCCGAGATTAACAGTTTAAGGTAATCTTTTGTATAGCATGCATGGAGCATATGGAACCAATTTCCTTTGCAATTTCATGCAATTACACACATCGAATTTATGGAAGTCCAACACTGGGCAAAATGGTGTCGAATGGAAAAGCCTCGGGAAGTACTGATGTCTGCTAGACACCTCACTGACTGTCATGGTTGGGATTGGGTGAATCAGCCCAATATGCACCAATATGCCTTGTCTATGGCATGTGAATTCTTTTGGTTTCCCCAATCAGATACCAAGCCGTTCGGATACCAAGGCACCCGGTCTTTTTGCTGTGTATTTATATTTTTTGTTGGGGGGGGTGGTAATTTTTGACCCATATTCGTATAGTTTAAACAGCATGTTTAAACATGTTCGGTGGAACCCTGACGTTGCTCCGCGCCGGAATTGCGGAAGGGTTGCGTATTTTTGAAATGCCATGTCGGTAAACTTTCAATATGTAGATGTAGATGTATATGTGATCCATGATCATCATCACCACCACCACCATCATCATCATCATCATCATCATCATCGTCATCGTCATCACCGTCATCGTCATCATCATCATCATCATCATCATCGTCATTGTCTTCCTCATCAATCGTAATCACCATCATCAATCATGATCATCATGATCATCATCATCATCATCATCATCATCATCACCATCGTCACCATCATCATCATTATCATCATCATAATCACGATCATAATCATCATAATCATAATCATAATCATAATCATCATATATCATCATCAACATCATCATCATCATCATCATCGTCATCATCAACATCACCATAATCATAATCATACTCATCATCATCATCATCATCATCACCATCATCACCATCATTATCATCATCATCATCGTCATCATCATCATCATCATTGTCATCATCATCAGCACCATCATCATCATCATCATCATCATCACCATCCTCATCATCATCATGGTCATGACCATCATCATCGTCATCGTCATCATCATCATCGTCATCACCATCATCATCACCATCATCATCATTATCGTCATCATCATCGTCATCATCATCATAATCCCTTTTGAAGATCAGATAGGTGTATGTTTTCCCCATTCAACATATTTGTCAGAGGGCCTGGTGGATCTGTCCCTAATGAAGATAAGATGATGTGATTACCTCAATTAATATATTTGTCGGAGGGGGTGGTGGATTTTTGGCCCCTTATGAAGATAAGTCGTTGTTATTCCTTATTCAACATAGTTGTCAGAGGGGGTGGCGGATGTTGATATCTTATGAAGACAAGTGGGTATGACTACCCCAATCAACGTATTTGTCAGAGAGGGTGGTGGATTGTTGATCTCTTTTGAAGATAAGTTGATGTGATTACACCATTCAACATATTTGTCATAGGCGGTGGTGGATTTATGATCCCTTTTGCAAATAAGACATACAAGTTGATGGTACTACCCCATTCCACATGAGTTGACACTGGTGATGATGATGATGATGATGATGACGATGATGATTGTAAGTGTGGAGCAACGTCCGGGTTGGACGGAACATGTTTCAATAGTACATTATTGCCTATGGCATTCTGAACGGGATTGTAATTGGATGTAGATAAAGAGCTCACCTGGTCTCTATTTGCACATGGAATTGCCAAGATGTCCTCCCATAGGTCCCTAGAAGTATCTGGAATTGGTCATGTTGCCTGTGGATTTTGTCAACTCTGCCTTTCCACCAACATCGCCCCGACTCCGTCGACTCGCCCCGAAGCAATCTTTGGCTCCGGTGCGCGACGTGTCAACGCCTGTGAGGTGCCACGGTCAACGCATATGGATTCCGATGTATTTTTGCATGGGGACATCTCAGCATCCGGT